TGACGTGCCCTAAGATCCTGTTCTTGGATGAACCGACCAGCGGACTGGACTCATCGGCTAGTTTCGAGGTCATCTCCTACGTCAAGGAGATGGCGGTTGCGAATAACGTATGTGTATCCCATCTGCAGATCTGCAATTACTAACATCTCACAGCTCATCATTATCGCCAGTATCCACCAGCCATCCACAACTACATTCCAGCTTTTTGATAAGCTCCTCCTCCTCTCGAGCGGGAAAACGTGCTACTTCGGTCCTGTCACAGAAGTGCCGACCTATTTCGACAGCATTGGCTATTCGCTTCCAATTAACACCAACCCGGCCGAGTTCATCCTCGATCTTGTCAGCTCCGACTTTGCAGGCAGCACACACGCCATGTCCAAGGATCAGGTCCAGCGGATTCATACAAGCTGGACTGAGTCCTCCAACGCCGCAGCGCTAGCAGAGCAGGTCTCGCAGCGGACCGTCTTATCCGAGAAGCAGTCGGCGAAACTCGACATGGACGAGCTAAGTCGCCCAGGCATTCTCAGCATCACTCTTACTCTCTTGCACCGCTCCTTCATCAAGAGTTACCGTGATGTCGTGGCATATGGCATCCGTATCGTCATGTACCTGGGTGCGTATATCAAAAATCTCCAACGAGGCAGAAACAAAACTGACCGATCCATTAGGGCTGGCAATCATGATGGGAACCGTCTGGCTGCGTCTGCACACCGAACAGAGCTACATCCAGCCCTTTATCAACGCAATCGTAAGCCTGCTCCCACTAACTCTGACCCTCCAGCTAGAACAACACAACTAATATCTCCATCCTCACCAGTTTTTCGGCTCCGCTTTCATGAGCTTCATGGCCGTAGCCTACGTTCCCGCCTTCATCGAAGACCGCATGACATTCATCAAAGAACGCGCCAACGGACTCTACGGCGCTCTCCCCTTCATCGTCTCCAACTTTATCATTGGCCTCCCCTTCCTCTGTAAACCCCCCCTTCTCACTTACTATTCCACTCCACCCCACTGACAAATACAGTCCTAATCTCCCTTCTCTTCTCCATTATCTCCTACTGGCTTTCCAACTTCAACCCCACCGCCACCTCCTTCTTCACCTGGGTAATGTGGCTCTTTCTGGACCTCGTCGCCGCCGAATCCCTCGTCGTCTTCATGACCTCCATCTTCCCCAACTTCGTCATCTCCCTCGCTCTCGTCGCCTTCGCCAACGGCCTCTGGATGAGTGTCGGCGGGTTCCTCGTCACCCCCAAGATCCTTAACCCGTTCTGGAAATATGTTTTCCACTACATTGATTATCAGGTACCCCTCCCCCAAATCCCTACCTACACCCCAACACACACACACTGATTCAATATTAATAATGGTAATAGGCATACGTCTTCCAAGGCATGATGGTCAACGAATTCCAACATAGAATCTACTCCTGCGGTGACTCCTGCCAATGCATGTATCAGACGGACTTGGCCAATGAGTGCAAGATCCGGGGGACGGGCGTACTTCAGGAGTATGGGTATGCTACGGGTAGGACGGGGAAGTGGGTGGGCATTCTGGTGGGGATTATTGCTGTGTATAGGCTTTTTGCGTATATTGCCCTGGTGCTGAGGAGGACTTAAATGGTGATATCGTATCATATGATATCACCGAGTAAGGCTTGGGGCTGGGGTATTGGGTACTGTATTAATTGCTTGATTATGATTATTAGCCTAAGATGACATTTTTTTGGAAGAGTGGGGTTGGCGTCTCTCTACTTCATATTTCACAATTTGTTTGAGTGAGGGTGATAGTTGAATGGAAGGGTTAGGGTATAGAGTTAGTCTTAAGAATGAGATAGGATCTGTGGATCGCGGTTAAACATATACTCTATGTACTACTTATGTATGGAAAAGATAATGTTCTTATAGCTGATTTGTAAGGATAGTATGTTTGTTTTCATTGTATTTTCGCTAGGGGGTAATCGATAATGGGTAAAGGTGAACATCAAGGGTATTGAAACAATCGCTCGAACTGGAAGCACGGAAAAAAAAAAAAGGTAGTATGGAGACATCGTCGCTAGGAACACATCTCATTCCATGGCTCCGTCACCAATGGATGGTTGAACAATACGAAGATCAGCAGCAAGGGGAATCATCAAAGGTGGTCAAAACAGAGGTAGGTATCCATGAAGATAACACACAAGGTACAAGATGGATGAGAGGGGGTAACGGCACCCTACTACGCGAAGGGAGAAAAGAAGTAACTCAAGGGGAATTGGGGTAAAATAAAGGAAACCAGGACAAGGAAATACATCGAATCACATAACCGGGTATACCTTTTTCCTCTACCACTGCTCATGTCATGACGAGCATTCGGCAGATAGAACAGGCGGGCCATTCGAAAGGAATAATACAAACGCTCCCAGACATCGAAATCGCAACAAGAATACCAGACACAGGACATGATGGGGCATCAACATGACATCAAACATAAGACATAACATCAGACATAAACAAAGGTCATGCAGGTCATCAGAATCATACAATCATGTCGCCATGATGGACGTGATCGGTGAAACCCGCCTCTCCTCTTTATAACACCCGAGACCAAAAACCAAGTCGTAAACCGTACCAATGCAATAAATAGCCTCCCATGGCAAAGCAGAGCTCTTTTTTCCCAAAACGAACCTTCCAACTTTTTCCAAGAACCAGGGCAGAACGGACCAGATGTCCATTTGGTATCGTGATGGTTCAGAGATCCGCCGCATAATGATCGCCCAATAAAAGACAGAAGAAGAACTTTTAGCAAACAGTGCTCCTTGCTCCGAAAGTCTAACCGATGAAGTGCGTGAGGTGCAAGAGACAAAACGTGGATCAGAAGAAATACTAGGACAGGTAGGGAGCGATATCCCCAGGTCATCATGGTTGTCAAGCACAACTAGTATCGACCGCCGTAGGTCGATCGGCTAGAGCGTCGACTGGCACGATCTGACTTGCGATCACTCCGTACCCGCCGGGCATCTTCAATTTCCCTCACCCGTCGGGCATCTTCAATCTCCCTCACCCGCCGGGAATCTTCGATCTCCCTTACCCGTCGGGCATCTTCGAGTTCCCTTCGACTATGAGCCACGCTGCCAGTGTACTCCGATCCATTGGTCAAATACTTTTTCGGTCGCTGTTTGCCCTCGATGTTCAGCTCGACCGCCCCAGTTTCGCCGGTCCGGACACTGATCTTCTTTCCGCCATCCTGAGGGAAACTCATCGTGACACCATTTAGCGTCATGACAATGTTGTTATCCTCTTCTGGCTTGGAGCCAGCGTTACTACCGCTCTGTGTGCGGGCATCGCTGCCACGGCTGCTGCGACTCTTCTGGCTGCCACTATCGCTCTCGGCGCGCTGGGAAGACTTGGCCTTGAAGAGAGCATCTGCCGTCAACGGCACGGGTGGCGCCGGAGGCACTGGTGGCTTTGCCGTGCGGGTAGCTTGGTACTCCTCCGCCTCGCGATGCTTCTCATCCATCTCGTCATCCTCTTCCTCGTCGTCGTCGTCTTCTTCATCGTCATCGTCTGGGAAGTCGTAGATAGTTGGCTGACGGCGACGAGAGTTCTCCACGGCAATTCGCGAGGGTCTAGTAGTTTCGTGATACGCTGTAGGGCGCCGGTAGCTGCGGCTTCGCGCCGGCACGACCGTCTCCCGGGAGGAGCGGCGGTAGCCGTAGCCGTCAGGCAAAGCATCCTTCATGTCAGCCATATCAAAAGACCGAGCAGAGTGCCGGTCGGACGTGACGGAGGGTGCCGATACATTTTTACGCGGCTCTGGGCGTTTCTGGATGATATGCGGGGTGTTCTTGTGCTTGAGCGGTGGCCGGCGATAGTAATCCTCGTCGCGATCATGGGAAGAATGAGAGGGAAGGCGGGGTCGAGGCTCCCGAGGCGGCGGTGGTGGCGCAGGAGGGGCAGCATCCAAGGGCTCGTCGTCATCGAAAGCAGCTGAGGCAGAGTCGTAATCAACCACAGGCGCACCATATACAGACGGGCGCCGCCCCCGCCCATCCCGCGTGCTGGAAACTGATCGCTCCTGCCGATGCTCGGAAGGGGCGCCGTAGTCGGACATGCCGCTGTAATAAGGCGACTGTTGCGAGTAATGAGAAGGCGCATACGCGGAGGGGTTGTAGGCGTACGCTGACGAGGACGGCGGGGGCCCATGTTCGTAGCGGCTCATGCTGGAGGGTTGGTACACCATCTGTCCCATTCCAGGCAGCATGCCATGGAAGCTCACCGGTCGGTTGTTGGGATGGTAGATGGGACCCCCGCCACGGGCGGAGGGGCGGCTGGAGCGGGACACATGAATGTCCTGGACCGGGTTGGGAGCGTACCGGGGGTCCCCGCGAGGTGAAGGGGGAGGAGGATAGTCGTGAGCCGATGAGGGAGGCTGCGACATGTAGTAAGGATAGTCCATGGATGGTCGGCTGTCGACTGGGGTTGACGAAGCATGGTACAAGCCCTGATCACACTCCCAGCAGGTGCCAGGGTAGTGGCGCATCTGCGAAGTCTCACGGCGACGAGGCCTGGAGGGAGACCGCTGAGCGTGGGCAGGAGCATGGCTCACGCCGTTGGGATAGGCGCCGACCTGCATTTTGTCCTCACGAGAGGGACGAACGATCCGAGGTTTGGATTGTTCTCTGCTGCTTTTGGATCGAACGCGGCCAAGGTCAGCACGTTTGACGAGGGTGGTGTCTAATTTAAGAGGGACAGGACTCTTCCGGCCCGACGGCCCAGATTGGGTGCTGTTGACGGTGGCGGCGGTACGACTAGAATAGCCGGAGTCACTTGCAACGTCGACCAGGGGGGCTGCAGGCGATCTCAAGACAGGCTTGGAGCGCTTAGAAGTGAGGTTGGCGACTTGACGAGTGTCGGGAAGGATGACATGGGCATCTTCATCATATTCCTCACAGAAGGCGGCGTGAGGGACTTTTCCAGACATGACTTCTGGAAAGGCGGCCAAGGAAAGGCCCGACCCTAAGAGGGGAAACTGTGGGTGTGGGTTTGAGTGGAAAGGGGAGACACAGGACAAGACAGACAGGCAGACGAGGGAGGGGAGAGGTTGGATTGATTGGGAAAGGGCTCGACAGTGTGCAGTGTGGATGACGTGAAACGTGGTGATCCAACAGGCTTTCAGGACTCCGGGTGGCCTACAGCAGCCACCAGCTGCTGCTCATGCGAATGACTCAACGAAGACAGACTTTTCTTTACTAGTCTTTCCTCTTGTCTTTTTCTTTTTGTTAATTTTTTCTCGCTTTCGTCCAGTGATAATTTAGTGGTGGTGCTGGACTGCTTCACCCTCTCCCCATTCAGCCCAGTGCCAGTGTCGGGGAACCCACTTCTGCGGTAGCCTCAACAAAGCAAACGAGACCGGCAGCAGATGGGCCAGAAAATAGTCAGGAGACGGTGTGTGTCTAGATCGGGGGTCAGCGACGAAGAGTGGATTCGTGGTGAAAATAGTCGTCGTCCACAGGCTGCACAGGCTCCATCGAAGAATAATGAAAAAACAAAAAAAAGAAGAAAGGGCAAAAAAAAAGAGAAGGCGTCGGTTATGGTTGGTTTGGCGCGAGGAGGGTCAGCGGTGGAAACGAGACCGTATCTACTAGTAGAAAGTAGTCGGGCGGAAAGAGTGGACGGCGAGAGAGGAAGATGCAGGCGTGGGTCAAACCAAGTCAACCAACGGAGAAACGAAGCAGAAGAAAGGAAAGAAACGAGACAGAAGGAGGAGCGCGCGCGCCTGCAGTTGTAGTCTGGCAGACGGTGAGTGGAGGATGACCGGCAGAAAATGTCCACGGGCTGCAAGTCTCAATGCAGTCGGGCAGCGTGTAACCGAATAGACGGTTGGCGGGAAATTTTATTCAGTTTCTGGTTTGATTATATATTATCTTCTTTATTTTTTTGTATCGTAAATTGAGTGGTTTTTGTTGTGGCGGTGGTGGTAGTAAAATGATAAGGTTGGTTGTATGGTTTCAAAACAGTAGTAGAGTTTCTGTGGTCCCGTCGGGGCCTGACGAAGAGGGGGAGGGGAAAAGAAAAAAAAAGTGGATGTAGATGGGAAAGAGTAGAGAGTAGAGTAGAGTGGATAACCGAGTGAGTGGATGGAGGGGAAATAGAGAAGAGACCAGACAGAAGTGGGGTTGGAAGATGAACGGACTGCTTTTTGACTTGTGCTAAGAGTAATAATGGTGGGGATGGGATTGGAGAGGAATGCCCGACAGAGAGTACAGAGTAAGTAGTAGTAGATTGGATGGATGGATATAGCCTTTTTAATGAGTAAATCTGTCAGTCAGTCAGTCAGTCAGTCATCGTCGTCGGTCAGCTTTCATTCCATCATCCCTGGACCGGATCGGAACGAATCTCACGATGTGTTCCTCCTCCGTAGTAGACTGGGAAGATAAATTAAGAAAAGAAAAAAAAAAAAAGTTGAAAGGGATCCATAATACTTGACTTGACTGTGTGGAAAACCAACAGACCCCGGATCGAATCAGATCCGAGGACGGATGCAAGGCGGAATTACAGAGTTCCAGATCGGATTCATTGAACTTGAAAAAAAAAAAGTAAGAAAAGAATGGAATGAAATACCACCACGCGCCAATCAAACTTATCATCGTGACTCAACGCGAATACTACTACTTACTTACCACTATCTACCTACTACTACAAAGTTTTCTTTCTTTGAGTTTATCAAGGACAACCGAGAAGGAAAATTCCCACTGTGCTGCGAACCATACAAGTATTGACATCGTAACTGCACACTCGACATGCTTTCTCTTTCTTCCATATCCAAACATCCCTGCTCTCTATTCAGGTTGTTGTCCCTTCCATTTTCCCGAACCTCCCTTTTTTTTTACCTTTTCTGTCTTCATGGACACTTCCCTGCTAGTCTTCATTTTCCCGTTTCGGGTCTGTCAGCAATCGCATCGCGTCTCATCTCTCTATCCGAGGCATTCCTGGTGGGAAAGAAGACAGAAGAGTCGGAACGGTTGAAGTCGCAAGGAGGTGGGGATGCCACCCTGACTGGCTGCCGGTCGATGCCTGATCTGCCGCTAACTCACCCGGTATTACCGCTCGTTACCGTCCGTCAGGACTCTCTCTCCCGCCTCTACAATGGATAGGAAGGCACCATGGCGGATTATTGCCAGCGCGAGTCGTATAGCAAGGAAACACCCAGGTTGAATATTGAGGATGACTCGAGATGTAAACACACAGTTTCTACCACCCACGAACCTTACATACGTCACACATGCTGGGGTCTGCTTCAGCAGGATCTTATATTTGGCCTGTCGACAGGGAACTCACCTGCAGATGCAAGGTCGGGTTCATTTCTATCCATTGGCGTATCAGCACCATAAGCACGGTCAATCAACCACTCCATGACAGAGGTGATTTGATCTATCCAAATGTCGAGGAATTGATGTCCGGAGTATACTTCGTTCCCACTCCCACGGGTATTCAACCCTGGTACCTACGCTGTAGCCTTTTATTCCGAGCGCGTGGCATTTAGTCCCCGGATCCATTACCTCCCATCATCCTGATCGCCATCACATTCCAACATCTGGATATTGCCTGCAAAGCTATCAATATGATAACCTGTCAGCACTAAATTTCGGACTCCTTCAAAAGCGTCTGCGCAATGCTTGTTACTATCGAGTCGGTTCGTCAGGTTGCGTCCCAAGTCCCTGGTCAGATAAGGAAAGACAACCCCGAAGACCCCAGCCTCAAATGTCGAATCGATCAGATACGTCACATGCTTCGCTCCCTGCCTCCAAATGCATGCATAGCAAGGCTTGCAATGTATCTGAAGAGATGAAATGCGGGTATGCATGGCGGTTTATTGTACCAGGTATCCCCGTCGGTACTCAGCCATGACAGAGTGGCACAGTGACACAGTAATGAACCAAGGCATATTGTGAAAAAGAGATTGTCTTTCCCTTCCAGTCTGAAAAGCTAGATTAGCTGGCAGCTTGGTGCAACGTCCGTTGTGAGTCTGTCAACATTGTCATGGCGGCGTCGCACCAGGACTGCTTAGCAACTGGCCGGAATCATCCTGCCTCGTGATGGACAACGATCCGCGCCTTCCAACAGGATCCTATACAGTGTAGCACGAAGCCTTATCCACGGTGGCTTTCAGAACCCTACTCTCGGGATATCATCGAACGTTCATTCTCTCTCAAGTACCAACCTAACCACTAGTGCGTCATCTCAAAATGCCAGAAAGGCACTGGCCATAAACTGCGTATCGGCCATAACGCCAGGGGAAGTGGAAATAAAACCGCTAGGCTCCCCCACCAAATAAACCCGGGCTCCATCGGAGGAACCCTGGGTCTGAGCGGAACCGAACCACGGACCAGGCTTGACTGCCACTACAACTTACAAGACTAGCAGGTTGATGTATGATGATGGTGTTGGTGATGGTGAGGATGGATGGGGAGCTTCCTCAACCATTACCCAAATCTGTCATTTCCCATTCCGTGTGATCAGCGCTGAGCCGGAAACATTGTCATGGGTCTGCAATAATCAAATAAGATAGGATCCATGCTCTGTCCGAGACAATCCCGTCTTGTTGGCTGCCCAAAAGTCCTGGACGCTGGCAGGAACCCCGTTGCGGCCCAATAACGACTGCGGCCTCCACTGCGGCGCTTCTTGCCGTCCGCCTCTGCAGGTGAAAATCTCTCAACCGGAGGCGCAAAAGTAAAAAAAAGTTTTACCATCCAGATTTTGCGATGTCAAATTGGAAAACAGGTTCACGCAAACTTGATCGGTGTCACTCAGGTAGATCCATTCAAGTGCGATTATCCTAAGCTGTCCTGCGCGAAATAAAAATCTATAGAAAAGCTTTCGCTCCAACTTACTGCAGATTGAACTCCCCATGACATAAAGAAGTGGTCATCTACTCTGAATGCTCTTCTACCCCACTTACCGGCATCGTCTAGCTGGCTGATATCTTGATCCTCCATCCTGGTGGAGTTTCCGGTGAGCAAACGGCATGGAAGATGGAGTCGAAGCACGCTAGAAAATGGGTTCCCGACAACACTGCCCGCTAGCAAACAATTTGCATCGCAGTTCTTTGCTCCGGCTTGTTATAGTCCTGACAGTTAACTGCGAATGACAGGCATAAACGAACCTGTGATAGTCCATCATTCCCGTCACTCCTCCAAGGTCTTCCGGTCTCGGATGAGTTGGATACCCATGTCTGTGGCAATGTTGGTCAATGGATCAATCAACCTAGTTCTTGCTGCTTCTCAACAAGCTTCTTCGGGCACTGATATTTACATTAACCTCATGACAAGGGGTTTAGAAATCAAAGATCCCGTGAGTCATATTGCGAGAACACTGTCGTGTTTTCACACGTCTGGCTACAGAGAGAGGTTGCCTATCCACAGCGCAAATAATATGCATCTACACGGATACTGTTGGCATCGATCGGACTGAGAAGGACAATAAAGTCGATATCTGGAATTTGAAATCAGACGACCTCCCTGTCCCTGCTCAGCTGAGGCTGAGTGAGGCACAACTCTAAACGTGGTTTCTGCGTCATACTAGCTTACCAGGATTACATTTATCGCCATTGGCCCAAATTAATGAGCCACGGACTCAAATCTACCGCTTCATGTCAAACTATCGGGTAAATATTAATTACATCCTCATTCCCGAGTACCTAAAATGCAAATAAGACATAACATCTCGGGTTATCATTGTCGACTCAGCCCACAATCACCTCGGTATATCCCTCAATCTTCCCGTCTTTCATCTCTATCATCCGGACGTTGATGCCCAATACTCGTGACTCATTTCCTGGATGAGACTAACTCCATTCCCTAGAGTTGCTAGTGTTATCCACAGCCAACCACCCGTCGATCCCAGTGTTCCGGCTTTATTTGTACTATCTTTACTCCAGGCTAATCTCAAAGGTCCCCCGCTGTCAACTCGCAGGATTCATTGTTGCCTCCCGCCCCCTGCTTGTTGAGCTCCGTAAACTTCCAGTGAAGAAGATTGGCTGAAACCTAAGACTGTCATCGGGAATAACCGCAAGCATCGTAATTGGACTCGTACGCACTGTCGATCCGGTCCCTCTAAGCTCAAGGACTGTCCACCTGTAGAGTTATACTTTCAGATAGTGATCCTGATAAGATAGGGCTGCTGAATAAGCGAGTTGCCGGGGCCACGCTGGACACCCAAACAAACCGGCGTCATCCCCAGCCTCGCCATTTACTCCAACCTCCTCATTTTCGGCGGCTGCTCGTCCATTCTGCTCACTGAGTGTCTTCAATTCTGCCCTTTTCCGTCCGTGACGGAGCTGGTCACTATCCCCGTTGCATAGACTAACCAGTTTGTCTAGCGATACACCACATCGTGCGATCCACATTCCAACCATCTACCATCTACATAGTATCCCGACCGATCGGAATCCAGATAAGAAGAACCATAAACTCGATCTCACACTGACAACCTCGATAAAGGTACACACCCACATTCCAATAATGCCCCATACCCGCACCATCCCACAACCAAGCTAACCACCATCATCTCCATCCAGAGTCCCGTCTAGAGCTCCAAGCTCTTGACGGCTCTTCAACCCCAACAACCATGCCTCCCATCCACCCCTCTGCCACGCTCCTCCCCGCCAGCACCCAAAACACCATCACCACCTCAGAGCAACACGACCAAAATGCCGCTCCTCACACCCACCTCTTCGGCCGCTCCAGCACAACCTGGGCCCCAGGCTCCGGCACCGTCGAACCAAGCCACATCAACATGAAAGGCCTAATGGCGCTCTTCGCCATCTTGGGCGCCGCCTTCGTCCTCGCCGCAATCTGGTTCTTCTTCTGGGCCAAAAACGGCGGATTCATCTGGCGCAAAGGCGACTGGGAAGAATACAAATCGACCGTTCTCCGCCGCAAAGGCCCCGACGGGCGCACCTTATCCAACGCCACGAAAAGTACCAAACTCGGCGGCGGCAGCGTCTACCACAAAGGCTACAGCGACGACGGCTACACCTACACCGACGAAACCGCCACCAACCTGACCGAAAAGACCGGCGTAACGGGGGCTACCTCCGCCGAGAAAGAACGTAAACGGCGCCGCAAGCTCCGCGAGAAATTCCGTCGTCGGCGCAAGGACGACGAAATGACCGCGAACTGGGAAAACGAAGTCGACGAGGACGTTGCCGCGTACAGAAAGGAAAAAGCCGCCCGTGTCGGGGGCATTAATCGCGAAGGAGAGGGAACCTACTACGGCAGTGACTACGACCTCTCCAACCCAGCAAGTCATTACAACCAGAGCGAAATCAGCGGAAGTCAGGTCCGCGATTACGCTTATGATCCGGCTCCTGCCCCCGCCAAAGCGCCATCCCGGAAACAGAGCAGACGACGTGACTTCTCCTTCGTACCCGGCAGCGAGGATACCCTTAGCCAGGCACCGACCCGCGACGACCACCACGACCGCCGTCACAGCCGCGAACCCTCGGCGAGAAGACATAACCGTCGGCGTGAACGACGCAGGAATCCCCCGCCGAGTGAGTCCTCCGGATCACGGACTAGTAGTCCCCGCAAGCGGGAGAGACAGTCCGTGCGGGGCCACTACACGGAACCGTTGGATTTCTCGTCGTCGGCGCCGTCGAGGTCCGAGTATCAGTATTCGAATGTGGATACGGAGGATACGGGGACTAGGAGTTATCATCATCCGATTCCGGGGTTGAGTAAGGGGTATAGAAGGGAGGGAGGGCGTGGGAGGAGAAGGGACAGCTTGAGTGAGAGTGATTGATTTGTTGGTTGATTACTGCTTGCTTTCTTGCTTGCTTATTTGACGGATGCATTGGGTTATTCGGAAAGTAAATGATCTGATATGAAATTATTATGGATATGGATATGGTATGCTATGATATGCTATGATATGATATGCAATGGATGTACATAATGAATTGTGCTTGTTATTCTTCATGTTCTATTTGTGTTTTTACTTTATGGGTGGATATGGTATGGAAACGATACTCGATGATACTATAGGATGGAATCTTTGATCATGGCAGTTAATTGCAGTTAAATTGACTATATGATATTACACAAGATCTCTGATCTTATTGGGCTGGGTTGTGCCATCTACTTGGGCTTGTAAAGGCATTGTTATACTGACTAGCGAAATCTGATAATGTATGCATTTTGAGAGCTATCCAAGTGCTGGCATGTTGTCACTAACGATAGGCCATGACTAGCCACCAATCTCTGTGCTATGCTACACCATCTAAACGAACGGATATTGAAATATACCAATTACTCATTCTCCTTGCCCAACTCTGCTGGCGGACTGCCTTCATCTTCAAGGCCAAATACCCGCCAGGCGGAATCATAGCGAGACATGCGACGGAGAGGTGGCCGAGTGCCAAAAGCTATGGAATTAGTTCTCTTTCGATTGTTGAAAGACCTGCAGGTCCCGTGCCATATAACAGTGCTGGCTTGTTCCGGCTTTTTGGAAGGTTTGATCGTCGAACCACTAGACACCACCGCACCTGCGTCATTTGAGTGCCAGCTTCCAAGAGCCAATTGACTGATGTCTTCATCGGTCAAGCCCTGGGTACGTAAAGTTTCCCATACGGGATGGGATCTCAGACGTGCACTTTCCAGCGATGAGGTGCGAACCTGGTGAAGGATCCAGTTGTCTATGAACTTACGCCGCTGAAAGGGTGGCCCAGTGCTATCGAAATCATTCTGATCATACGGGGAGGACCTTTCACGAATCGTCAACTTGAACGGGTCTTTGACTTGATTATCTGCAAAACGGATGTCATCTGCAGAACGGCTGCGAATGCCCAAGGAGTGAGCTGTGCCCCTTGCGAATCCTGGATCACTTTGGGCTATTTCGTCAAGGTCTGACTCGAAGTCGGCGATGTCATAATGTGGCTGTGCCTGTATCCGATCCCAAGCTTGCGGGAACCTATAATCTGGACTTACTGGACACGTGCTTGTTTGAGAGACCGGGACTCTCTCTGCGCCAGATATGGATTCCTGCACCTGCGAAGCGAACAGATGGGGCTGCTTCTGCTGTGAATCATTCTTCCTCTCAGATGTGGTCAGCGGGACCGATCGGGTGTCAAAGCCTCGAGGATCAGAACGAGAACGCGCAACCCCAAATTCGGTCCTAACACCTTGAGGTGCTCTATTATCTACCGGGTGGAATAGGCGGCTCAGTCGGGCGGCTGAGTGAGCGAGTTCCTGCTCAAGCTCCTCCAATTCATCCTCAGACTGATTAAGCTGATATTCCAAATCCAAATGATACAGCGCGATCGACCGGAGTGCTGCGTAATCCTTTTCAATGAGCTGTGCAGTAGATTGACAAGTGCAGCATGTAATAGCACTGAGTTGTGCTCTGATAGAATCCCTCACAGCCGTCTCCTCCTCTCTCTGCTCCCACATCATGGCACGTAACTTGTGCACCTTGTGCCTGTCTATAGCGATCAGCTTCTGCTGCTCATGGCATTCCTTCTGCGCTATATAAGCCTCCACCATATCAATATCACCAACTGGTGGTATGTGGTGTCCCCAATGACGTTTCCTAGGCAGGCAGTTTGCATCATCGGCTGTAGTTTGCGTTATCCCGTCTTCCTTGCTGTGTGATACGAAACCTGAATTGGAGTCCACTTTCCGTAAAATATCATTGGCATTCCCTGTCAAGGCTTGCTCTGCTAAGCTCGGACGGGGTCCCGAGGCAGGTTTGAATTTGGGATCAATTGTTGTGTTCAGTGGGAAGGGAGGTGGATGGCTGGGAAAATTGCGTTCTAAAGTATTGGGACCATCAGGTTTATCTCCAGAGGGGAAGCCGGTAGTATGGATATTCCTATGGGGCATATTGGAAATGAGAGTGATAAAGAATTGATAGAATCTGGCGCGAGTGGCAGGCTAGGTTAGTCGATGAGCTGCAGGGAAGCCCTAGCAGCGACATCGTGGATATCTCCTAAGGAACATTTCGCAGAAGGAGCGAGATCATAGGAAGAGGGAAAGAGCGACGGGTCAGCCTGATAGACTGCTATCTGATACCTGAGCAGCGACATGGCTAAGAACTAGAAGGTACCTCAGTTTGCTGACCCTTAAATGGCAAGAGATACTGGAGTGTACTTCGCACGAGGGATGGAGATGCGATAGCAGCGAACAGGCTTATCGGTGGAGCGCAAGTGGAGTTCGTCCAAAATCAGAGCCTCGGAAAATCTCACCGCCCGACGGATTTTCCAGCCCGCTTGAATGAGGAAAACTTTCCAGTCGTTCACCAGCTTCCCCAGACTCCCTTCCCTTAAACTAGCAGTGAAATTTGGGAATTTATATCGCCACAATGAAGCGCAAGTTGGATGCTAATGATGTTCCCTCCCCCGAAGTTGCGGAGACTAAGGAAGCCCCCGATGCGAACGAGGCCGACTTTGAAAGTCTCAACCTGGATCCGCGACTGCGCCAAGCCTTGATCAAAGAGAAGTTCACCAAGCCTACGCTCGTCCAGGCGAAGGCCATTCCACTGGCGCTCGCTGGCAAAGATATTCTTGGTGTGTATATCCCAGTGTCTATGGTGGATGATAAGCATACTAACAATACCAGCTCGTGCAAAGACCGGCTCCGGAAAGACCGCCGCATATGTCCTCCCTATCCTTCAGACCATTCTTCAGAAGAAAGCTGTCAGTACTCCCCGGAATTATCGATAGACATCAAAGAGGCAAACTAATCGTATTCTGCTTCTAGGCCGACCCCTCATTTAAAGCAACCACAGGCCTCATCCTCGTCCCCACTCGAGAGCTTGCAGAACAGGTCCAAAACGTCGTCACCACATTCGCTGCTTTCTGCGGAAAGGATGTTCGCTCTGTGAACCTCACTCAGAAGGTCTCCGAGGCCGTACAGCGCACTATGCTCTCTGATTACCCCGATATCGTCATCTCCACTCCCGCTCGTGTGATTGCCAACCTCGGAAACTCCTCTCTTTCGCTGGATAACCTCACACACTTGGTCATCGACGAAGCCGACTTGGTCCTTTCGTACGGATACGACGAAGATATTAATGCGCTTTCCAAGGCGATTCCCCGTGGCGTACAGACCTTCCTCATGAGTGCTACGCTCACCTCGGAAGTGGATACTCTGAAGGGACTATTCTGTCGCAGCCCTGTTGTGCTGAAGTTGGAGGATAAGGAGGAGAAGGGCGCTGGTGTTAGTCAATTTGTTGTCAAGTAAGCCTAATCTGCACACGACAAAGGATCCAAACGCTGTGCTAACTGCTTTTCCCACCAGATGCGCAGAGGATGAGAAATTCCTCCTGACATACGTGATCTTCAAGCTCCAACTCATCAAGGGCAAAGTCATCATATTCGTCGGAGATATCGACCGTTGCTACCGCCTTAAGCTTTTCTTGGAACAATTCGGCGTCAAGAGCTGTGTTCTCAACTCCGAGTTGCCAGTGAACTCCCGAATCCACGTCGTCCAGGAATTCAACAAGGGTGTTTACGACATCATTATCGCTGCAGACGATCAGGAAGTCCTGGGATCCAAGTCGAAAAAGGCCAAGAACGCCGATGCTGATGAGGAGGAGGAAGCTGCTGGTGTCATGGGATCCAGTGACGACGAAGAGGCTGAAGATGACAAGAGCAAGTCGAATCGCCCGGACAAGCGCCGCAAGCTCACCGCGAAAGAGAAGGACTATGGTATCTCTCGTGGTATCGACTTCCAGAATGTGGCCTGCGTGTTGAACTTCGACCTCCCCACAACCGCCAAATCCTACACACACCGCATCGGACGAACCGGCCGTGGCGGCAAGACCGGCATGGCGCTCTCGTTCGTCGTCCCAGCAGACCAGTACGGAAAGCACAAGCCCACCTCCTTCCCCACCGCAAAACACGACGAAGCCGTCCTGGCCAAGATCGTCAAACGTCAATCCAAACATGGCCACGAAGTCAAGCCCTACCACTTTGAGATGAGCCAAGTCGACGCCTTCCGCTACCGTATGACCGACGGTCTTCGCGCCATCACACGCCTTGCCGTCCAGGAAGCCCGTGCTCGTGAGATCCGTCAGGAGCTGGTCAAGAGCGAGAAGCTGAAGCGCCACTTCGAAGACAACCCCGACGAGCTGCGCCAGCTCCGTCACGATGGCGAGTTGCGCTCCGCACGTATCCAACCCCACCTGAAACACATCCCCGAGTACCTGATGCCGTCCAAGGGTCGTAAGGGCATCTCCAGCGAGGATGTCGGCTTCGTTGGGTTCCGGAAAAACAGCGACAACCGCATCCGCAAGGCTAGAGATAAGAACCGCGCCAAGGGCAAGGGCCGCAAGCCCTCGGGTGTTAGAAAGGTTGATCCATTGAAGACGTTTAATAGGGGCCGGAAATAGGCGTTGTACCAGTGTGGGATTAGTGGTGGATGAATGAGGGATTATGTACATATTGTTCTTGGTTCCATGGGAAAAAGTTCATCATATTCGGTTTGGGATAGTGCGTGCATATAGAACTCCAATTCCAATAATTGCATGTCAAATATAAAATCATGAAATCTACCACTTGCATTTCACACTAACGCTATATTTCTTCCCATCACCATTTGATATAGGCTCTATTCCCATGCAGTTGGTTATATACCAGGACCTAACATCTACATCCCACGGCATCAACATCACCTACTAAGCTTATAGATATTATATACTAACTACTACTATGCACCCCTCACAAATACCTACCACTTCCTAACCAACTATCAATATATATGCATACCCCCATAAACAAACCACCGCATCAAGGCAAAACACCCAGCCAGTCCTTCCCAAACAACTTCTTCAACCCATCCTCCTCAATCCCCTCCAACCCAAAAGAAAACTGCACCCACTTGCCCTTCCCCTCCCTCCTCAACCTCAAAACCCACTGCTGCACCTCCTTCGCAGCCTGCACCGTCTCCCGGAACCGCTCTAGCTCCTTCCCCCTCCGATACTTGATCCGCTCGACCTCCACATCCCACGGTAAATCCGACGCTGGCTCCGCATCCCCTCCACCACCTCCTACACGGCTCGCAAGAGCGGGATGCGGCGGTGGCGCATGCGCTGAGAAAGCCAGGGAGCGGGTAGGCGACGACAGAGACGAGGAAGAGGAGCCGCTCTGGCTGATGCTATTCTCGGAGAGGAGCTCGGCGTCGTCAATATGGGGCAGCCAGCCTGGTCCGAGACGGATGTATTCGATGTCTCGCCAGGAGGTGTTCCATTCGGGACCGGAGGTGGCGTACGCGGATGAGATTGATGATTCGCTGTCTTGCCACTTTAGGGCTGGAATCCAGTCGCCGCAGCCTTCGAGGTCGAGCCATTTCAGGCAATAGGTTACGCGGGATAGGCGCCGGAGGAGACCTGCTGCTTCGGCCCAGTTGTTTTCGCTGGCGGAGTAGGTGTCGGTGCCGCCGTAGGAGAAGGTTAGGGAGCGGTGGTTGGGGTGGCGGATCCGGGCGTTGATGGCGTTGGGTGTGACGGTGGGTATGGGCCAGTGGGCGAGGGAGAGGTGGGTGATGGTGGAGAGGCGGGAGAGGAGGCTTATGAGGGAGTTCCAGTTGACGGTGCCGGGTTTGGGGTGTGCGAGGGAGAGGTAGCGGAGGTTGGAGAAGCGGAGAGTTGGGGATGGTGTATGGGGAATAGTGGTGGGATTGCTTGCTGTTGGGGTGATGATGTTGCCCTCTTCTTCGACTTCGTCGTATTCCTCTTCCCAGGAGGAGGGGACGAATTCTTTGGGCTTGCGCTGCACGGTATTTGGCTTCTCGGTGATGAGGAGCTCGCTGGAGAGCTGCTTCAAGCTTAGCCATCGACCGATGGCGCTGCTTAGGTCTAGACGGGTGACTTCGGACTCGCTTTCTTGATGTATATCGGGGTCATCGGTAGCGCGGGATTTCTCGAATAGAGGTCGCAGACCGCGCATAACCCCGCCCAGCGGTCGATCCTTGGCATATACAGCGATGTAGCTGAGGAGGCGCACTTTGAGGTGATTCGGTAGAGCTCCCAGGAACGGTCCGTCATACTCGACATGCCATTCCCAATATGTGGCCATCGACCTGAGCACCGTTTCGACAAGACTGCCCTTGAGAGGGAAGGTCGTGCCTGGTAGACGCTCTAACCGGTAAATGACTCTTTCTTTCTCCGCAGCAGAAATATCAACATCGTCTTCCTCCGCATCATCCCGGCTGCCCAGGAGCCAGCTCTCTGGTGGTGGTGGCCCTGCAGTTCGTCGCAAGCGTAGCGAGCCAACAACCCCGACACGGCGCGCCCCCGGGCGGGGGCGGGGAGGCGGTGTTTCCGGTAGCTCAAGAAGGTTCCGTAAAGAGGGATGTACAGATCGAGGCGCGACAAATCTAAAGGGGCTTTCAGGCCCATTGGAGACCTGCGTGCGGCGGAGGTGGTGAATCAGGTCGTTGACGGAGGGTTGCTCCGCGGAAGAGGACGAAGCGTGGGATGAACGAAGACGATCATGGTGGTCGTGTCGCGGGCCGGAGGAAGCGAGGGTATGGTGAGCAGTGCTGGCTGGTTTCGCAAAGGCGGTCTTCTTGTGCTTTTTGGGCATAGGGATGGGAGGAGAGTAGTAGACTCAAGGGGAGGTTTCAATGTGACAGAAGTGGGATGAGGCCGATCGGCGGAGCTCCTCCCCATCTTATCGTTCGCCGCAGCTGTTTTCGCCCCTTCGGTTTAGTAAGGCTGAGCCACGATTTAACCAACTAATTTGTTAGTTTACTAGATAGCTTGCTATGAGTGAGAATGAGTCATTGGTCAATTCATGCTAGCTTGCCGTAAAGCCAGGCTGAGTCTTCTTTTAGTCGGTAGGCTGCAGTAGAGAAGACAAGGGATAGCGTGCGATGTCGCTTGTGCCCATATTTTATTTCTATGCAAGGTTCTATTGTACAGGTGTTTTTTGCTTCGCAGTAATGCACATCGTCAAATATCGCGGACCCATGAATCATCGTCCATCTTACCCTCGCGCTTAGGGCCCTCTTGCATCCATGTCTCCACTAGGCCTTCCTTCGGGTCTTCGTCTGACAATCCTCTCGTCCGTCGGACATCAAGGACGAGATCCCGGACCTTTTTAGTGACCTCCTTTCGCAGCTCAACTGCTTCAGGGTCATATAAGAGCTGGTCATTCAGCACTCCAAACGGCAGATCGCGAGTCTCGGGGGCTGCGCGTTCAGCCTTGGCCCTGATGTTCTGCCAACGTCGTCGGTATTCTCCGAAAACCGCCTCCCTATCCACTTTCTGTCCAAAAGTGATGCTGACCTCCTTTCCGACACGAGGCAGGAACCGGGGGAATTCGCGGCTTTCGTGCATAACCTGGTCGAAGCCCTCGAGCCAGATTGGCACCACATCCGGGCATTCGCTAGCCTCGAGGATCAGTCGTGCCACACCCCATTTGAAATAGCGCATGGTCTTATTCGGCGCTTGGTGGATCTTTCCCTCCGGGAATATATGGAACCAGGAATACGAGTTGCAGGCGTAGGAGGACGGCGATAAGTGGGAGTCATGCCCGTCGGTAGTGTAGGCTGTAGGCAGATCGGAAAACGGATCGACGCAAACATTTTGTAGACTCCACGATTGACGTTCGGGGACAGCGAGATGAGGGTCAGCAGGGAATGGCCCCTTCGACAGGAGTCGGATCGCCTGGGTGACAACGGGCTGGGCGAGGCCACCATATTGCGAATGGGCCGATCGATGTGTCGGCAAGACTTGGCCCATGGTGAAGAAAAGGGCTAACGGCCTATACACCAGTCCGGTCAGTCAGCAACAAATCATTTCGAATTGGAACCAGGCAAAGACGACTGCCATACCTAGTCTGATAACAGATGTCGTGGCTTCCAAACCCCCATCGCTTATTCCAATTCGCAAGTCCGAAGTTATATCGCATCGGTAGAAATCCCCACATGATCGGATCATCCATCCTGCTCAATTAAAGCGGCCATGGTCAGCGTTCTCTGACGTCGGAGTTGAACGGGTCGCCTCAGCTTTCGAGGCGCAACATAGGCACGTACACGCTGGTATGGTTCGAAACTAATAATCCAAAACAGTTAGCCGATATAAGAACTTTTAGGTACAGTGATCTGAGAGGGAAAAGACTAGACAGCATACCTGTGAGCAAGCCTCTCGTTCTCTGCGAGGGATCACTCCTCGAGTCGAGGAGCTCGAGAAAATGATCCAATCCATTCGCCTGTGGCCGACTGCAGAGGTACAGAAACGAGCGACATAACGCTGCAACCCCGAAGATAGTGGTGCAGGACAATGCCCTCCAAGGAAGCGAGGGCGCATCGGCTGTTGCGCCGCCAGAGTCCGTAGAGCGCGACATTGTTCACTCAGCCCGCTCTAACCGAGATCCATCCAAGCAGTAACAGGGAGAAGGGCAAGTAATATAATACAGCGTAGCGGCAAGGCAGAAAGTGAGGAGAGGAGGAGGAGGGGGGAACAACCCCGGATCGACGGCGTGAAAGCAGGTGGCATCTTCATTGGCCTCGCAGAAATTCGGGGAAGGAAATCAATTGTTGGCCCGCGGAGGTTCGCCGTGCACGGACCTCCCCAAACCTCTCTCGACGGGATTTTCGTCCGCCAACTCGGCTTTCCGCTCCTTGTGATTGATAGCTTGCCTCCCACTCCTTCGTTCCCTTCGTCCTTCTTTCGGTGACTATATTCGGTTGTCAATTGCAAAGATGATGTTCAAGCCCTCATCGCCGCTCTTCTCCGGTCTTCTTTGGTAGGTCGCAATCCCATCGGACTGCCCCTGTCACTCGCCCGGACATCCCGCATTGCTACAACCACCCCCATCGTCATCATCATGCGCCGTGAAGCTAATATCACTCGTCAATCGAATAGGAAGATTCCGTGGCGCCTCTCCCAGCCTCAGAAGGCTCGCCAGAGGAAGCGCCTCCGTGGCGTTGACCGGGTTGTCGACACTGTCTCCGCCGCGCTGGAGCGCAATGGATACACCACCAAGTCCGTCGAGCGCTGGTACAAGGAAATGCCTCGCGAGGAGGAGATGCTGCCGAAGGACAAGTACACACTGTTCGACAAGAAGGAGAAGAAGTACCGCAAGGGCATTCACAGTACGTTACACCCTAGGCCCATCTAAGTCGAAGGGCTGCCATTCCCAGAGGGGACTCAAACGAAGGGGATTCTGTTCGAATTTCGTGTGCTAATGCTATTTCTCTTACAGAGCTACCCAAGTGGACCCGTGTCAGCCAGAGAGTGAACCCCCCGGGTTTCTAAACAGCTTATACACGCAGAGTGTGTTGGGAAGCTGGCAATCGCCTTTTACATATTTGTACCTGCATTATTCAACTGTACTATACATCACATGCTGTGTCTGCCACGATGCTCTACAAGAAGCGTCATTGAAGGCACAGAAAGGATTACCGGAGTTTTTGGCAACTGGGGAATGACACCATGACTGCATTGTTCGCCTCGCTATTTACCATGTTCTTTATTCAAGCCTAAGGCACAGGATTCAATTCGATTTCAGAGACTTGGCATTTGATGGCATCTTTCAAATTCGTAAGGATAGGCGGTCGTTGGGAACCGATGGAAGCGCCTGAAGGCAGCATAACAATACAGATAGACCATAAAGAGGCTGCATCATGTTATCTGTCCCGTACATCATCCTTTCACACAGATATATAACCGCCCTTGACACATTCGAACTGTTTGCAGAGCAACCACACAATTTCTGCCCAAAACGCGCTGTGCTGTCAGCGGACCAGACATGAGTCGTTTGCAGATCAAGAGCCTTTTGCTGTTGCCATATGAAAATACCGGCTGATTGCTCCTGCAGTTTCTTTTGCTCTTGTTCTGTTGACTCTGCCTTCATGGATGGCTTTCCGAATCAGATAGCCATGGCGGATCTTTTGCCAATCATCGAATGTCTCTTGCCAGCCTGCCCCTCCTTCATAATACACTTTTCCCTGTCGGGCTGACATGAACGGTCCTTGCGGGGGTCTGCGCAGCATCCAGCATGATGGATCAACCTTCCCATCTGGTGGATCAGCCGTCGAATCGGGGTAAAGTTTAATTGTCTTGACCATGTCACGTAGTCCAGATGCTTTTCGGTGTTTGTTAACAGCTAGCCTCCATGAGTTAATTTTAGTAGTAGAAACTGCTTTGCGTGGCACCCTTGGGTACTTTGGTTTCGCGGCCCAGTCAGGCTTTGGATATGGCGAGTTGAATCTTGGATCTCCAAGTCGCCTTCTAGCATCGATAGGTATTCGCGTAGGTGGGTCAATTACCAGCCAGGTTTCTTTATTGAGCCAGTGGTTCGCAAGCAGCGCGAAATGGTAAGGTCTCCGGCCTGGGCAGAGCTGGTTGTAGAGCCATTCCAGTCTCCGGTCCAGCCCATCTATGAACTGTAGCTCCCAACTAGTCAGCTCGCTAATAGGAACTTTTCTTTCCAGAAGCCCTGTCCGCTTCTTCCTCTCCCGGGACTGCCTTGTTCTAGAGCGATGCATGCGCAATGGCTCTTTCTGTCGCGTGCAACCATCTGAATCCCTTTCTTCTTCCAAGCCTAGTCCTGTACAATGGCGGGCCTCCAGGCGACAGGGTAAGCTTGATCGACCACATGCAGGGACTGCAGAGTAGCGCACAGCTAAACCAGCAATATGATCAACACTTACCGCTGCTTCCACATTCTTGACATGATTATGGTTGTTAGGATTGTTAGGTATCAGTGTGCTGGAATTTGTTGAGAAATCCTCTTTGCGCCTTGATTGGTTCAGGATCAATAGAGATGTCTGATCGGATGAACTGGTGACAGAAAGCCCAGATCGCGGAGTCCCGGCAGGTGGTCCTAGAAGCTCTGTATATTTGGACGGTTGCAGTGCCATCCGAGCAGACAAGACTTGGTGCTTACGGAAACCTCGGAGCCTTTTTATTGTTTCTATTCCGCCTTCTGGAAAACTTGCCTTGGCGCGGTGTGGTGCATTTGAGGCGATCGAACTCTCATAATTCTGGCTGAGGCATGGAAGCGAAAGACTGCGTATATCTCCTGTGCCACGACCTGCAAATCCTAAGCGCATCCGAGTGCTGCAAGATGTATGGCGCGACTGGCTTTGAAGTATGTCTATGTTGCTTGCATATTTGAGAGGTTCTCGCTCAAACCTGCACTCTCTTGTGCATTCGCTTCGATACTGGCGAGTTTGTCTTGCCTTTCCTCGCGTTGACGCTCGCTGATAGCCACGCTGAAAGAACAATTGGCTATACGAGCTCGTAACATTGCTTCCTCCAAGCGCATAGTAGATTGTTCGACTTGTTATGGATCCAGGTGTGTGACTTCTCGAAAGCGCCCCCGTCATAGCTCTGAGAGAAGCATATCCACTGCAGAAGTCCGACGTAGTAGTGTTCCTGTGGCGAGGAGGGGGCCCTGGGTTCCAGATGGTATCAGCAGCAATGTAGCTATAGCTTTTAAACCAGGTCGGTAGCCATCGCAGGTTTCTCCTTTCTTCGCAAAACCTATTCTGCATTTTCTGCCCAGGATCCCACCAAAGCCAGTGATAGTCATCGCTTGGCGATCTCCAGACTGCGCAATCATGGAGCTTTTGCACAATTCTCCGTGCTAGCGCTTTGTTCTCCTTATGTCGTTTTGCTGAGACCCAACCATACCAAGTCCTGCTATAGCGTGTTGTAGTTTTGTTTCCTTGTTTGAGCACTTTACCCTGGGTGAGGAAACGACAGAACTTCGCAATTTTCCAGAAGAAAACCGAAACAATAAAGAATAACACTGTGCCTGCGAAAAGCTGAAGCAACGCTTTGAGACCAACGTATTTCGTGGCTTGTATGACAGATGCATGAGCGTTTTCATATGATCGAGTGAAGGGTTGGGATTGATATAGATGCATCAAGACGGGTGCCATCTGATTGAAGCCTCATTGAATAACAAGCAAGGGATAGTCATCCTGGTAACAATATAAGATATGCGCCGTCCAGGTCATTTACTGGGAGTAACAGTCGCTTCAGTGGAGAGTGGTCTTGCGGTTTGTGGGAGGCGCAAGAAAAGGGAAGGAATGGCTGGTGCTGCATAATCATGACATTGACCCGAAATTGTTGCATCCCTCGGCCTCACACACGTTTGCACGCCTTGCTTTTAACCTTGCCTCCCTTTTGATTTGATTGCCCAACTTGTCTTGAGAATCAGTATCATTATCTTCCCCAGATCTGGGTAGATTGTCACGATGAAACTGTCCATGTGAACAAGACGAAAGATATAGCAAGACTTTGTTCGCTTTTCCTCCGGAATGCTGCATGTTCTACCACAAAGCTACTCCCGCGCCATAGTATTCAAACAACCAAATGAAGCCGTTGATAGGTAGTACTCTACCCGCTCAGAGACACTGGGCTTCTTACGAATGCTTTTTCGAGTTATCCTGTGCTACATTGATCAAAATATTCCGTCTGTTTGGTTCGAACTTGAGCACTTGTCTTCCTAGGGAGTGGTCCCTTGTAACATGATTCTAGGGATACCAAAGAATAGCTTCCTCTTCCCTCAGAACCATCGAATTGCAAGGCTAATCCTGGGAGGCAAGGTCTTTCATCTGGTTTATCGCGCTAAGAAAACGCTGCCGATCTCAAGGCTACAAATCACAGCGATTATCTCAGAGATTCGACCCATTTCTCGCATATGTTCGCAATGATAGCTATAGCATATCACAAGTATGCAGTCGGTGAGACTGAATCCCATAGATTATGGCTGGTCCATGTTAACATTGCCCAAAACACAAAGACAAGGATATGCCTTGTCCTGGTGGCCGTCCTCACTATTCTTGGCAGAGGCATTGTAGAAGCAATAGTCTCTTATCTGGAACCAGGCTGTCGGGTTTTTCTATAGTTCTCGCGAGGATTTTATTCTTTTTCAGAGGGCCTGGATTTAAAAATAGGTGTCAGCTCCGCTGTGTTTGCACTGCATTGATGATCGACACATGGTGTCAATCTAGACAAGATATGTCGCAGGCTTGTCCAAGGTTACAGAGCCAGAGAACTTGGATATAGTGGGCACGCCATAGCTTTGAGGACTTTGTCTCGCTATGGTTTGGACCTAGCTCTCACAGACACATTCGATTACTTCCCTTATCGTTATTTTGGAGTTTCCGTTCTGCTCCTGCTGAATGAGGGATGTTCAGATCAGGTGACCGTAGATGGTCGGTTTCCCGCCTCACTCTCTCGCCTCATTTTTCCCTTCAATCTCATCAACCCCAAGGCTCAGAGCCTGAGAATCGATCCCCAATTCATTTCACACTTAATTTAATTGACTGGCACATGTGGCTATAGGTACACATATTTTCTTTTTTATGCCTTTCTTTCTTCTAGTAATGAATCGTTTGATGCTAGGATCATCACTGTCTCAGATCAATCCATTAGTGAAGAAAAATTAATGAAAGCCGCAATGGTCGAGATCCCCTGATGGTCCTCACATCGCCAGCACAACCGAGCACTCCAGCCCGTATTTCAATCCATTAAGGGGACTACCTCTCAGCTGCTTCAATAATTGAACGCAACGAGGCTTTCCCCCTTTTTTGCATTGCCCCCTGGATATTACTTTATTCATTAGCCTGCTAACAAGCTCGGCGAAAACAGGGAAATTCTACTGAAGTTCTTTTTTTGCCTATAGGTTACACGACCCATAGCCTATACCTAAACCCCGGTTCTGGGTCAAAGGCACGGTTACCAAGTACCGGGATAGTTACTACACTTCTACATGCCCGCGGCGAAAAATACCCCCGGCTTGCTTGTGGGGTTAGCACATCTAGGGCTGACGTCCAGTACCTCTTTTGGTCAATGGCGCTCAGTGGCTGATTAGAATCATTACTAGGTCGTCTGCTAAGGCCATCGTCGACCGGCTTGCCGGAAGGCTTCCAGACACAATTGGGTCCTTGTGAATTCCAGCCCTGTACTTTTGGCCGCTTCGGATCGCCGTCTAGCCCTTCTTCGGTCCAAAACAGGAATACACAGGACATGCCCCATGTGGCGGTAGCAACGGAAAACATCCCCTGCCCTATAAATTTTCCTGGTACATGTGATATCTGATACATATGGGAAATATAAATCGCGATATCTGTGACACCATCAGCCATCATCCATGTGATTGTTCAACGAAGTAGTCCCAAGCTGAACATGAGCAAGGGTAGAAGGATGGCAAAGAAAGAAAAGAAAATAAAGAATAATGACCAAGATGTGTGTTCACCGATGCTATCTTACCGGGATACTACATTCCTAAAGCCACTGATCTCTTTGTAATCGGCACCAGGCTCCAACCGGGGCGGGATGGATATACTACCGCAGGGATTGCCACCTCTGATTGATGAGCCTGCTGCAATCACATACACTCATAACATTGAGTTGCCCCATTCCGACATCCTATGCCCTAATTGTTGCGGGATTTGTTGCGGAGCCTGAGCCTCGTATAGATGAAGATCTACCAAACGATGATCGACCGCATACCACGTTCATGGAGGGTTACATGCACGGTGATGGCCCACCAATTTTTTTTTTCTGATGTCTGGACGGACAGGAAAAGCAAAAGAATAGTAACATGATTCGCTAGGCCGTGTGTATCATATCGTCGGCATTTGGAACATATACTCTTACGACAGTATCACACCATACCGGCATCGCATATTCACAGATGAGCAAGGTTGTCTCCCTTGGACAGAGGCAAAAAGGGGCAGGTAAACTGGTAATGCCTCGCTGCATCCATGACTTGCCTCTTCTCAGTTCACTGATCATGGATGTCACACGGTGAGCGAATCCAGGGACTCGAGTCATGTCAGTAAGCAGAGAACGTACCGTGGGGCACCCCACGGCGAAGGGTAAGCGGTAGACGCTAGTGGAATAGACGAGGATTTAGGGGGTGGAGTGATGATGAACGATGTCTTTCAGCATTGACGAAAGACAAGTCAGCTTCAAGCATGGGTGATCCTGGAACTGGACCACTTTGCAAATGCGATCCGGATTACGGAATCAGAAACAAACACATCACCTGCAGTAAATGCGGTGTAAGAGCTCCCTTTGCAGGATGTTCCAAGTTGTGCCCGACGCCACAATTCGGGACTATTTGCTGAACTATGACAGTTCGGGATGACCACTAGCCACACCCGCCGCAATGTAAGGAAGGTCGTGGTTTCACTACACCGCCACAGATGGGCCGTTGATCATCGTGTCAGCCACAAGTGGCTACTAGTGAACCATAGCGCAGTCGCCCAATCATCATGCAGCATGTCTCGTCCCACGCATCCCGAGGCATGGAACCTACAGGAGGAAGTAGCGCCGATCGATCTTGCATTGCATTGCAGAAACACTCAACGATTGGTGTCTGAAAAAGCAATCATCCCCGATGACCACCATCTTGATCTTGTCGATGATGAAATGAGATTCGATGATCTCAATACCAGCGGGAGTCACGGCTTCGCGTGTGACCGGAACTCCGTCTATTGATCGGGTTAAATTTCAGGAACGTAAACATGACATACTGCACACTTATCTCACTGCATGACAAACCCGTATTCCGCAAAGTGCGAGGGATCAGCACGATAAGTGCAATGCAGAAACTACATGTCACCATTTCAGACGTGGAGCCCTGATGATGAAGACCCCAGGGTCTAGATCTTGCACGCACACCGTTGTACTGGGTATCATGCAGTGGACCCACCGTTCATCCGGCCGAAACCCCCAACTACAGAAAGAAGATCTGCATGTTGTGTGGTCTCAGAGGCAGTGGGACCAAGAGGCATCTGCAGTATCATCCCGGCATAATTCGGGTGTATCTCACGGAAATCTTGGGGAGAATGTCATTTGCTAGCCGAGCAGACCGGTGTCAGGAGTGCCATCAGAGTTCCATGCAAGGCAACAGCATTCAGACAGAGTTTACTAGGACGGAGTCTAAGGTTATCTCCTCTATTACTGAACAGCCTATCATGCATCTCGGGATTACACAGGGAACACACCAGCCATAATGAGGCTGGAGGGTTATGTGGCTGGTGTGTTGATCTAGACCCAAAGGGGTATATTGTGTGGCGAAGTAGCCCCTGGGGCTTGACGCCCAGTCGCCCCTCCTTTTCTGCAGTGCGACAGGACCTTGTCCGTTCCCGTCCTTGTCGGATCGTCTCTGTTTACCTTGCTCGGGCTTTGGAGTCTGGAATGTCAAATTAGTGGATACTCCATGACCAGTCCAGGCCCTAGTTAGACGGATCCGCTCTCCTGGGTCTGAACCTGGGTTCTGACCGCTGGACTGGGTAGACGAGCGACAGGGACGCTTCAGACTCCCGGGGCCAGTATAGCTCTGAAGGTCCCGGAGATCCGCCATATGAGACAGTCTCCCAAGTCACGGGTCTGACAAAAGTACAGATGGGAGCAGGATGGAGAGGTATTGCACGAGTGAACACCCGTCCGGGAGCTGTCGAAAACGTGGTCCCGGCACGGTCCAGGTAGTAAGCAGGAGTCGCCAAAGCTCGGATTTTGCGCAACAGATTTGAGTTTCCGGGCTTGGTATCCGGCGCTTGGGTAACTGGGAAGGGATCCTAGCACCCGTATCTCTAGATCCCTAGCTCGATCTCGCAATTTCCCCGGGAGGTCAATGCAAGGAGACTAATGAGGAATGATCCTTCCTCACCCAGGCTCTAGCTTTCGCTCCACGGGACCATTTCCGCCTCCCCAAACCATATGCAGTCGTCCTATGGAGCGAAATGGTTCGCGGGCGGAGCAAGCCATGGAAGCACAATATCAGCCAGAAAAAGTAATGAAATACATGGAAAAACAAACCTGCCACGAACCATAGTTCTTGATCGTCATACATCCGATAGTCACTAGTTGATCCAACTGGGTCGAGTGATGTTAAGCTTTAGAATCAGATCCCCTGGCATGGATTCGCACTTTGACATCGCAGTGCGCTCTGCTTTCCAACCTTTGGGACCCGAAGTTCAACTCTGGCACTGTCCATGGTTCTCTTCTTTCTACCCGCGCTAACGGGACCCAAATTGACGCGTACCAAAGACCACGAACTGTAGCTGATCTGGGTACTAGTGGGGAATGGGGGAAAAAGAAAACGTCAACTCGCAGACAAATAAATCGTCTCAAGCGGATATCGTCTATGCAAGCGCCCTGTTGCAGGATCGTGCAGGTTAAGCAGTACCCAACGTCCGGTAACATTCAATATCCCGCAGCCTAGGGGCATACGGGACCTCTGGTGCAGATCCCGGTTACTGGAACCCCCAGTATCTATTGATCTTAGTTCCTTCGTGGTGGCAAAAGACCATTGCCGTCTTGAGTACTTTCCTGGTTCAATTCGAGACTCCTATATCGCACCCTAGCGATCCGTTGCTACTATATACGAGAGGACGCATATATGAAGGCCCTGGAAGAAGCCTTTCTTCGATGTCTCCGCTCACTCAACAAGCTCAAGCCTACAGTCTCAATTCGAAATCTCAGGTTTTCTGCTTTAAATAGACCCTTGTCGCATCACTTTCTCTTTCTTCCCTCGCGATCAATCTCTTCTTGACCTCTGGAAATCAGTCTTAGAGCCCTAGCTGAGTACGACTTGTCGAAATTGCCATTGAGTCGATACACACCCGCGCATCAATCATCATGGTTCAAGGAAACGGAAGGAACGACGGCGGAAGCTCCAGCCGTGAATATGGCATGAACTTTGAGGTTGCGCCTCCTACAACAGTTCCCCTTGGCGTACCAGTGACTCTACCAGTAATTGTGGGGGTCCGACCTGTGGGTAACCCACGAGGAGTGCAACAATTGGTTGCGCATGCCTCGCTGAGGAATGAAGCAGGCACTGCTCCAGCTTCAGGACTCACAGGCGTGCTTACATCTAGCGTGCGCAGTCGCAATGGCAACGGCACCAGCGGATACGCTCGATTTGGGCCTCTCAAATTCACACAGCCTGGTCGGTATCGGATGCGGGTTATGCTAGGAGCGGCCTCCTTCAACGGCGTCACCACGAAAGAATATGTTGAATCGGGTATTATTCAAGTACAGGCCGGCGCTGCTACACCACGTCCGAGTAAGTCCCATCGTTACTATTGGTGAGAAATATCTCACAGCTAACCCATTTTCAGCACCCACTCAGGTCTCAAAGCTACAGACCCTAATCCCGGAAAACATCGACATCACTGCGGCTGACATTGCGACATGGCAATCAGCATAGAAGCCTTGGAGCACAGCCATATTTCGTACCCTCCTTTACTTGTATTAATTGTCGGTTTTACTCGGTGTTTGTGAAGATCGCGTCAGGATCAGCCAGGAGTTTCGGCCTGTGTCTCAGCTTTCTCGCTCACTCATGTGAATTTCCTTTGTTCGAGGCGGGCCAAACACGAAGTGCAGAGTGTTGGCCACCACATGATTTACGATCTAGTTTTATTTTTTTTTTTTTTTTTAATTTACCGCTTAGTATGTGATACACAAGCTCAGATTTAGCGAATGCAACTTTAATTGGATTTTCCCATCCCGGCACTAAACCGTCAACATCTGCCAATCGTGGGCCACGCGACACCGATCCAAATCCCTGCAACAAATAGCCAAACCGCAGAACCCACTTTGGATAAACCTTTATGACAATCAGGCATCAAGACCCTTAGAAATTGATAGAACAGTTCCACCAATAGCACATTTCCCAGAAGGATCCATGAAACCTGTTTCATCTCTCACCATGACCATCATTCTTCAACACCATCACCACCCCATCCAAATAACAAACCCATCAATATGTATATACCAGGAATCAATTGAATCAATCATCAATAACCAAATTCAAAAAATGTCAGCACCCGCTTTCCCAACCCCTCGTAAAAGAAAGAAGAAAAAAAATCGAAGAAAAAGAAAACTTCAATCCCACACCATCCCAGCACCGATCCCTATAAAACCCTCAACTAACTCCTATACTACCACCTGAATATAATATCTAAGCGGGTCCTCACTGGGCATCAACCCTCACTCCCACTCACGCAGGAAATCTCCCCGAGGTAAGGACGAAATTAGCCCGATGAACAGCAGTTTAATCTCCATGTAACTAATTCAAGGCTACTACTCCCATAGAGGAAATGATGATGCTTCGCTTGGGTATTTTGAGTATAGTAGCAAGGATTTTTAGTCGACTGAATGGATCCGTCCATAAGTTAGTGAGTGATTGATGATCAAATCGGGATTTGAATCTTCGGTGTTTGGGTGTTGTGGAGCTTGGAGCTTGCTGCTGCTGCAGTGATCGATCGTGAGTAATATTAAGATACGGGTACTATGGTAGGAGTACTGTCGGTAGAAGAAAAAGTAATTTGATAGTGTCATCTGGCTGAAGGATTCTCCCACTTACGTAGGGCTCAGGGACCGGGGGGTGATTATTGGCTGTTTGGGGTATCGATTCAGCTTCGGTTGGAACATTGAAATATTTTGGCTTGGAATGCTTGGTAGTGGTGGCGGGGTCATTTTTGTGATTAATTGGCTGGATTGTTAATTAATTGGTACTGTGTCTACTTTGTGGTGGTTTTGCAGCTTGGGTGAGGATGGCGATGTTGGTGATGGTTCATAGATAGGGGGTGGCGATCTGGGAATCGGGTTGCCTGGAGAGGGTGATACTTGCCATCAGCTGTACCACAGGCGTAGTTTACCAATGATATAAAAATGAATTGTATATATCTTACTAAATAGAAGGGTGGCTTGCTCAAACGTAGTTTTTGTGAGAGAATGATATTTAATTATGTAGAAGAGTTCGTCCTCCATACTGAATAACTATGCTCAGCTACTGGATGAGCGAATGGTATTGCGCGGCGTCGAACGGTTGGATCACTTCAGATGAGGGTTTTCCAAAACCCCTATTAAACATTTTCGAAGCGCCTCAGTTACTTCCACGGCTTGCTTTTCGTCCATCAGATGTGACCAGTACATAAGTTGAGTTTCAGTCTTGCCAGGTTGGGCGGTCACAACAACAAGAATATCATTCTAAGACAGCCACGTCAGCATCGTCTGCTAAAGGTTCGTTGCGGCATGCACATACATGTGTCTCTTCATGCGTCTCTATCGGTCGAAAGGAAAGCCCTCCCGTATCATTGGACAGTGCGCTCTCCACTGACAGACATGTATTGAACAGTGGTTGATCCTGGTTTCCTGGTAGCAAAAAACCCTCGAGGTCCACAAGTGAGCAAAATTGATGCGATTTGTCCTCGAGAGTGCTTTTCTGGCTCCACTCTAATGTCTCTAAGAAAGAGGACTCTGCGTCCAGAAGAAATCGACATGGAAGAACATTGAAGATCGAGCCGACCATTTCTTGAACTCCATCAATCGGTGCATCGCGTCCAGAGATCGTCGTTCCAAAACAGACATCGCTCGATTGACAGTATTCTTGCAATACCAGTGCCCATGATAGTTGGAGAACGTTTGTTATCGTCACTTCGTACTTGCTGCAGAAGCGTTGCAGAGTATTGGTGTCAACGAGTGGGTTAACTACGTACTGGAGCTGAGAAGTAGTGCAGTTATCTCGGCAAAGGCAATCTGTGGATTTTGACGGGAAATGGCATTGCGATATCCCGCTGAGCCTCTGTCGCCAATAATCGAGATGTTGACTATTTCTTCTCCAACTATCCAGATATGTCACCCATGAGCGGTATGACGGTGCTGGGGCGGGAAAAGGTAATCCACGATATGCCATAGATAGCTCACGGAGAAGGATCAGCACTGAGCTTGCATCAAGAAACGCGTGGCTGCCTTCAAGTTTGCACAGAACCTGACCGGCATCAGACTGGTAGATCGTGAGCCTGTAGGGTGTAACTTGGCTCTGCTGAATGTCTAGGTGTGATTCGCGTAGAGCGGTACTGAGATCATTGGAACTTAGTTGCCGCAAGACCTTAGCTTCTGTGGGGCAATTCCCCAGCACAACATGGTGTTCTGAACCAAAACCTTCCATCAAGATTGTTCGCAGCGCAGCATGGCGCTTAGAAACTGAATTCCAAGCGAAAAGCAAGCGTTCAATGTCAGTCGATACATCGTTAACAGTAACTTCCCAGATCGTGTAAGATAGATGAAAGGAGGAGCTCATCTTCCGGAGCAGTCCCATGTGAGGATCAGTGCAAGGGTACACGTCCTCTACCTTGGCAGATCTCGGTAGCTTATCCAACTGTTTCATATTGGTTTCAAATGCTGCAATATCCTGATATCTATCAGGAAGCAACGATATATCCTGAATGGCTGCAAAATTGTTTTCCGACGACGGAGACGCTCTTAAGGCAATACGGTGTATCGTCTTGGCATCAAAAATATCGTGAGCAGTGATATATATATTCTCGTCACGGCACTGCGCAACGACTTGCATTGCTAAAATTGAATCACCGCCTAGGGTGAAGAAGCTATCGTGGAGACCAACATCATCTATGTCGATATGCAAGATAACACCCATTATGCGGCGTAACCTTGACAGTATGTCGGTCGTGGAGTTCGCCGTGATAACATTGGCTTCCTGAGGACACATGTATGATTGCAGAATTCTCAACGGCAGTTTCGATGCCTCCTTTTTCAAATCAGCTTTGCTGGGAAGTCCAACGGACTCATGGAATACAGGTACTGGAAGGCAAATAATGGGCGCCATTGCATCTGAAAGAGTGGTTTGAAGCTGTGTCATAGCCTTATGCAAGCGGGCCCTAGTATCAATGTCCGGGAACTTGAAGACACATGAATGGTTAACACACGAGCCGTCTTTACACCCGACAAACAAGACTAGCTTTGGTGTATTCGTATCGATGGGAATAACCCATTCTGTTTTTAGCGGGGTTTCTTGTCCCAGAAGCGTTTGAGCCGCTCGTTCTACTTCATTCAGTACCTGGCGTTTTTCGTTCACTTCGGGGCCGATGTATTCGGTGGTGTTTCGCAGCACATCACCCACAGTATCTGATGACGAACTAAGAATCAAGGTCAAAAAGTCGCTCATCTGATGCAGGTATTCTTTGACTTTTTCAGTAGGGACCAATTTAGGATCAAACACGCCCCTCAATTTCATAGTGTCCTCTGCGTATTCGCATATAATCGTAAGAACTTGGGTCGCAAAGTTAGTATCAGTCTGTTGTTCTAATGTGTCTACTTCCATCAGTTTCAATAGGCTATGAGAACGTTCGTTGGGCAAAGGTGGCCTTGCTGGCTGGACAACAAGCAAGCTCTGGAACTGGCTAGCCCTGACGGCTTCAGAACTGCATTGTCGCATCCGATGAACCCCAAAATGCTCGTAAGGCATCATATTTAAGGCATGCTTCTGTAGATTCTTCAATGCGTCATATATCTTCTCGTCGCTATGTAGAAGGACGCGAAGGGGGAACGTGGTGATGGTAGGCCCGACAATGCTAGCAGTCTCGGAGCTGTTGCGGCCCGTGACGGTCACCCCATAGACGACATCCAATGATCCTGTATGACAGGCCACTACGAGGGCCCATGCAAGGCGACATGCAGTCGACAGAGTAATTTCATTTTCGTTGCACCTTTGAAGACAAAAGCTATGGACACACCTCGCGACGTTTTGGGGAATATGACCCGGGGCCACCTTGGCTGGAAAAGGAACTGCTGCCAAATCGTCGAACTCACCTGTCCAAAATGATTTTGCGGCAATATCATCCAAGTCTAAAAGATGTTTAATGAAAGGGACAAATGGAGACGTCACAATCTGCGTCCCGTTGTATGCAGTTTCCACGGCATCTATGATATGACTGTAGGACCACGAATCAAAGAGCGCATGATGCAGAGTCAGCTTCAGTCTAGAACCAGCCTCATGCACAGTATAACAATAAAAGAGTGGTGTTCCTGGGGACATGGTATTTTCTTCATTTTGGCAGGTTGTCGCATCATTCCATGCTATGTCTTCCCGGACGACAACTTGAAGCCCGCGGGAGAGTCGAAGAGATTCAGAAATCAGGACTATTCTTGTCCTCAAAATTGGATAAGCTTGAATGACCGTGCGTAACGCATTGTTTAACTTTCGCCAGTCGATACTTGGCGGAAGACTGAGATCGAAATTCGCTCGAAAAGCTCCAGGCTTGCTTGCTGTCCAGGCCATAAGACGCTCCTGGAGGGGCGTACAAGGATAGATGTCTTCAATGTCTTCCGGAATGACGCCACATTGGCTTGCAGCAAGACCGCGAAGATATTCCCCTTCGCCATCCATCAATGAGAATGGAATTATTTGCTGACAGGATACGGGCTCCATCGGGCTTGTCTTGATGCTTTGAGCTAACGCGGCGACGGTGGGGTTTTCGAAAATAGATGTAACGGTGATGTTGATACTGTGCCTAAGACGTGCTTCATTCACCAAAACAATGGCGAGAGCTGAATCCCCACCAAGATGAAAGAAATTCGCGCTGACTCCGACTTGGTCTTGAGGTAGCCTCAATACATCTGAGAACATTTGGGCAATACAGGCATGGAGAATCTCAGATGATTCGACAGGGCTTTCATTGGGATGCATCATACTCCGGAATGATTGTAGATTTCTGTCAGATAAGCGGGACACAGTGTTGCGCAGCAACTTTCGATCGACCTTCCCAGAGGGCATCAATGGTAACCTTTGGATTGGAACAAAGACATCTGGAATCATATATCTAGGAAGTACCTCACGAAGGGTGGACTGTATGTTTCGTGCCCTCTTCCAAAATTGTGTATCGGGTTTCATGAGTATATCCTCATTATCCGATGCTTTGTTCGAATCCGAGGCGATCGGTGCAATGAACAGTACCAAAATGGGATCACGGTCCCCTTTTGTGACAACCTCAGCAACTGGCGTGATGTTAGACCATAACTCCTGAGCTAGATGCTCGATCTCCCCAAGCTCGACTCGTTGGCCGCGAATCTTGACTTGCGTATCCTTTCTTCCCATGTAAACAATGCTGCCATCGGAGTTTTGCCGTGCCAAATCGCCAGTTTTGTAGTAGATTCCGGGCCTCTTTGACCATGGAACGTCAGAAATGAATGATTGTGCTGTTTGCTCTGGTTGGTCCAAATATCCCCCACCAACTATCGGGCCACCGATGACGAGCTCTCCCACTGCTCCAATGGGTACAAGTTTCGAATGGTTTTCGGGCTCAACAATCCAGGATGATCCCGCAGCACTGTACCCAATGTTACGAGGATCACTAACCCGGCTGAGCCCTGATTGAATTGTGGAGACTATGGTACATTCTGCCGGGCCGTACGCCTGGGTCAGGTGTAGTTGACCTGCCCATCGGGAAATATCTGACGGACGCATAGCTTCCCCTCCGACGACGAGGGTCTGAACTTCAGGTATAGCGCTGAAATCAAGGAGTCGTGCCACGGAAGGCACCAACTCTATCCAGTTTACCCGAAGATCCAGGATTGCTTGCTGAAGGTTGTCTACTCGTTGAGATTCCGAAGGAATACACACAGAGCCCCCTAACATCAGGGGAGTCAACGTTTCATGGATGCTGACATCGAATGCATATGATGCAAATTGCAAGACGCGGGAGGAGCAGCTAAGGCTCTGCAGAGGACTGCTAAGAGCCATGTTAGTACAGAAGTTTCCATGGCTGATGATAATGCCCTTGGGGATCCCAGTAGAACCTGAGGTGTATGCGATGTAAGCCGGCTGGTTGGGATCAGATGCCGACGAATGTTTCTCCTGGGTTTGAGATGAAAGGATGCCGGGGCTAGTGACGGGAACGGTGATGGTTTTATGGTTCAGGTTTGGTATCGAAAGTTCCTGCTTGGAGGAACACAGGATAACCGGGGCCTTTACCTCATGACAAATGGCTTGCACCCGAGCTTGGGGAAATGATGGGTCAATGGCGACAAAAGCAGCAGCAGCTTTGAGCACACCCAGCATTGCCACCACTGTCCACTTTGACTTCTCAAAAAGTAATGGAATTATCACTCCAGGCAGCACATTTCTGGCATATAAAATATCACGAACCTCCGACGATAATATATCCAATTCCCCATAGGAGAATGACCCATCCCAGGCACAAACGGCTTCAGTTTCGGGCCGCCTGAGACACTGTCGCTCAATGCAATGATGAATCTTGTCACCCAGTGGTCCTGTCGGCGCCGCTCTGTTCCATCTATAGAGCTGGCGTCGATGCGAGTCACTAATCAGGTCTATGGACTTTAGCTGAAGTGTAGACTGCAGGCTTTTCAACGTGTGAATCAAAGCTGAGTTCAACAGTTCTGCGTGATCTTGATCCAGAAATGATTCTTGACTGTATATGCACATTCGGAAGCGGGACTTCGAATAGTCTATCCCGATAGTAAGATCGACATGTTTCTGGCACAGTTGTTAATGCCTATACACTCTAGACCATCGGCTGCACGGTGCGAACCTTTACTTGAGCCAATCTTTCGATGGCCTTGAGTCCAATACTCTCAAGGAGGTACGTGTTGAAGCAACATTCAGAGCACAGCTCTCCATTTTCCCGATCACGTACTTTATATAGGGAGATAGCCTGCGGAATATGCGCCACTTCGTTTACCGATGCCCTCCATTCCTCCAAGGTGCCGCTATCCGAGATTGCTCCGAATAGTACCGTAGAGGTGTTGACATACTTGGAAAGGAGAATAGACCAAGCAGCTTTCAAGTCTTGAAATGGCGATTGGTTTCTTTGGCAATCTTGGTATTCAGAGACGGAAAGCGTTGTTCCAGTCGATTTCAAGTTAGTGCTAAGATTGTGTAGAAAACACGAGTCATGCTGGGATCCACGTGATCCGGTCTCGTCGTTCTTGTCAGTCATGTTGGGACTTTGACCGTACATACGAAGCAAATTGAGTACTCAAAATTCTCAATGCTCTTTATTTTTTTTCCAAGGTTCATTTATATGGCGACTGAATCCTAAAATGCTGCACGATGCTTACAAAAGAGGCTCTATGAATCAACATCTAGACTGTGTTTCCTGGTTCTGCAAAGCATCATGACTCTCGAATGCATTGGCAAAATACCAAATGCCAGAAGATCTTCTGCAGCGGGTCATATCAAGTGATGATTTGTCCAAAAACAATCGAGGCTACTCTGAGTGTTACACGAACAAGCCTAAATTGATGTCACAACATCTTGATCTACGTCAACCCCGAACGCCATCCAGCCAAATCCAGTTTGTTCCTTCTATGACGGAGGTCCCACTTAGTCTACACAGCCGCATATAGGAGGTCTTAAGGGATGGGTGAGAGAAGCCACTGCCAGAAATCTCGCAGGCAGTTCCAATCTCGGGTGACTTTAAACTTTGTTATGTGGACACACCGACAAGTCAACGTAATATCTTGTTCATCTGACACAAATAAGCCAAAAAGGTACATATGCCTGGCTAGGGCATTCTGGCCATGTCTCCGATGTTGTTACGGCCATCATTTAATGGAGCCGACTCAATATGAGACACATACTTCGCCAGATGCAGATACGAACGCGTGCGTGCATCCTACATAGATCATCGGAATGATTGATTGGCTAATTACTATCAGTAGACTTCTAGGATTCCCCCCATACCCTCCTCGCGAAAAGAATATCGATAGGCGAAACGAAACATCGTGACCTCCCTGGTACTAATGGTGGAATTTGACATATATTACGGAGAGCATCACACACTACTGTTCTACCCCAGGACTGAGTCTTCTACAATCCATCGAGACGGTTTGTCCTTTCGACTGCTGGCTAGTTTTTAACCTACTTTAAACCTGTCCAAAAACATGACTTTCACGCCTGGGGTTGGCCCGGATGGGACTGCACCGCCTAATTCCTCCGACGTTCATGTTATTATTGTTGGCCTCGGTGTGGCCGGTTTAACAGCGGCTATTGAGTGTTATCGAAAGGGCCACAGGGTCACCCTTCTCGAAAGGTCCCCGGTAGTGAAAGGGGTTGGTAAGTCTGAAGCTATACAAGTACTAGCCAAAGCCTGCAACTCATCAATCTTGGAACAGAGGGTGACGGTATCACCATTGGGGCGAATGGCTCACGCGTCACTGCTAAATGGGGTGACGGGGCTGTACACGAGCGAATGTTACCTTTCCGGTTCATTATCGAGAAGATCAAGGTCATAGAGTATACAGGCTATGACTTGGGTGAGTTTGAGCTCCGTGGGTATAACCGAGGTGACGGATATACCCTCAACAGGGGCACTTTGGTCACGGTCATGTATGAGCATGCGCGCGAACTTGGGATAGACATCCGTCTAAACTCTCCTGTGACTGACTACTGGGAGACGGACCATGAAGCAGGCGTTGTGGTCCACGGGGAGCGCATTGCAGCAGACTGCGTTCTTTGTGCAGAAGGTGTGCATAGTAAAGGCAGGGAGAAGATCACTGGGGAAAAGATTGTTTCTTGGGAGACTGGCTGGTCTGCATTCCGAGGCTGCTTGAATACGGATGCGGTAGCGGCTGATCCTGCAACGCGATGGGCCCTTGATAACGCTGAGGAATATGATCAGACAGTTGGCTGGGTATCAGACGATATTCACTTCGCATTGTGGAGAGGGCGAAAGGGGAAGGAGCTTTTTTGGTACTGTACCCATGAGGTAGGTACTCTCTTATATCAGGTTATCTATGTGCGATTCAATACTAACACGCTCAGAACGAGTACGCGGCAGAAGAGGGATGGGATGGCAGTACAGACGTTGTTGAGAACGTCCTTGACACCATCAAGGATTGGCCTGTGCGCCCGCAGTTGGAGCCACTCATTCGGAAAGGGAAGGGAGGTTGGTATGTCGATCAGAAGTTGGTGACAAGGGAGCCAATGCAGACTTGGCTGTCTCCTCGTCGAAGGATGATGGTTATCGGCGATGCCTCCCATGCCGCTCTTCCATCTAGTGGCCAAGGGGCCAGTCAGGCAATTGAAGATGGCGCGGTTTTGGCAATTGCATTGGAGCTAAGTGGAAAACAAGATGTTCCTTTGGCTCTGTCTGTCGGAATGGCGATCAGGTATGGCAATCGCCCCTCAAAAGCCACAAATCCATCCCTTGCAGTGACGGCTTACCTCTTCTATAGACACGCACGGGCATCTGTGATCCAACGTGGGGCGCCACTAGTTTTGAAATCCATGATGAAGACTACCTGCAGAGATTTGCGGAAGGATCTAAGTGGCGTTACTCCTCCACATCCAAGTTGGATCTTCGACCATGATTGTCAAGAGTATACTTATCGCGAGTTTGCAAAGGCTGCCAACTCCATACTCACTGGCCAACCCTATCAGCCCACCAATGTTCCAGCAGATGGGGTGTATCGGCTAGAGTACAATAGTCGGACGGTGAATGGTCAGCCATGATGACTTCTTCAGGCGAGCAACAGGCGTGGGGTTTCTTCTTTAGTCAAGATACTGCCCATAGTCTTGTGCTGTGTAACACAGGAAGCGTCCGAGTCAGCAAAGGGGTATTCAAGTTGACTTCGGCACATTTATTTGTTGGGGTTCTCCACCGCAATCCTGCAGATGAGTGTTTTGGTTTCCGATTGGATTGAACCTTGATTATCTATGCCAAGTCAGTCTGATGCAATGCCAAATTCTATCTAAGTGCTTAATCTGGAATGTCCACGTCCCTAACATCTATGCAGCATGGATACCAGTGCATATCCTAGGTCCTTTAACCCTTTCCATTAGATGCAGATCATGCAGTAGTTCAAAAAAGGTTATACTCCTAAGACAATCTTGGTTCTACCATTATTTTAGCCTTTACCCCTCAGTATCATGCTAGTAAAATTCTTCACGACACTGTCTCCTTCACACCTTGCATTTGGACACTGTCGATCTACAATTCTTTGAAAATTTGTATAGCATCATGCGGGAGTCTGTCTAGGTAGATGATGTGACTGTGTAACTACCCTGACCAATGAATTTTTTATTACGAAATTGAAATCGAAAGCCTTAGAAATGCATCTTATACAATATCCTCTTTCCTTGAAGAGCGAGCTTCAAAAGGTAGTAGTCAAGTAATCCCCTGCTTGCCCTTGAACTGCCCCCTTTCAATGTAATAGCAAAATCAGGACATACACACATGCTCCTGAATCCACACAAATCAGATCCACATTATGGCCTACCAAACAATAATCCCCCTCACACTCCTTATCTTCGCCATTTACCATGTCCTCAGACGTCCAGGGAGGTTCAACGTGGGCAAAGCCCCAGATGAAAAGAAGGCAATTTGGGCTGGATATTACAAAGTATGCATAGTAGTTCATACCCTACCTTCTAGAACAGATAGTAACTGGAATTTCCAATACCAACACAGGGGAAAGCATCATCTCAAACATGGACAATACCAAGAAAAGACTACCATCTTCGAATCCTTCCAATAAGCATGCTCCCATCGCTTCGAACCGACCATCGAATAAGTTTCACAGCGGGGGTACATGATGTATGATCTTGCTCTTCATGTCTTCAAAGATAATTAATTCAAGATTCAACTAACAGATAACTCCTCTACAGCAACAGCAGTCTCGCTTCACCAAGACATTCGAATGTGCCGCATTCGCCAAAAGCGTACAGATCAATCTGAACAATAACCTAGGTAAACATGCCCTATACCATCAACATCATCGAAACAAAACCTAACCCTCCCTATACCTACCCAGGCGACCTCCTCCCAATAATGTACGAAGAAATGGAATACGCATTGGACCAAGAACTGGGCAGCTCACACGGTAAGCACTACTCCAAACCCCCATACAACAAACCCTAACAACAACCAAATCCTCCTCAGAATGGCACCCCCTGCCCCCCCTCCCCACCCTCCTCCGCATCATCGCCCTCGTCTCCGGCCGCATCAACATCGGCCTCCCCCTCAGCCGCTCCCCAACCTGGCTAGCCCTATACACCAAATACCCACTGACAATGATGTCCTCAATATCCTCTCTCATGCAATACCCAGCTGTGCTCCGCCCCCTAGCACAGCACTTCATCCCCTCACTACGCGAACTCGACTCCATCCGGAACGAAATCATTACCCTCCTCACACCGGAATACGAAGCTATTCTCTCAGGTAAATCAGACCGAAATACCATGGTGAGGTGGATATGGGATAACAGCGAGGAACACGAGCGGACAAGAACCTACCAGAGCCACGTGCAGGCGATGATGTCCATCGGGACGGTGTTGGCGAATGCGGCGGCCGCGGCGCAGTGTCTGGTGGATTTGGCGGAGCATGGGGAGGAGATGGTGCCGTTGCTGAGGGGGGAATTTGAGCGAGTGGTGGGTGGTGGTGATGGGATAAGTAAGCAGGCGTTGAGCTCGTTGAGTATGATGGATAGCTTTGTTAAGGAGTCGCAGAGGGTTAGGCCGCCGGGGGCGGGTGAGTTTTCTCTTCTTTCCAATATACATATCTGAGTTTACCATCTGACAATGTTGGTTGTATGATAGTCACCTTCGAACGCAAAGTCCTGGTACCATTTACTCTCCCAGACGGCACGCAACTCAAGGCGGGCGAGCATATCGCGGCGCCGGCGTTCCATGTTGGCTGGGATCCGGAGCATATTGAGAACCCGGAGGTGTTTGATGGGTTGAGGTTTCATCGGTTGAGGAGTCAGGGTGGGTTGTCTGCTACTAGTACTGGTAAGTACCACTATGTGTCTGTGAATGAGACGTCGTTGAATTTCGGGTATGGGCGGAATGCTTGCCCGGGACGATGGTTTACGGCTTTTCAGATTAAGTTGTTTCTGGGGCTGTTGTTGACGAAGTATGATGTTGCTTCTGGGGGGACTTTGGGAGAGGGGAGTAAGAATGGGGATGAGGGTGAGGACACGGTCTGGATTAGAAGGAGGAAGAGTGGTGATGATGGTACTATATAGAACTTAATTAGTTGTTGCTGTGATTAAAGCCGGTGTTCGGGAAAATATATTCTGAGATGATGTACATAGATAAAGTCATCTGTAATCGTTCTGTCAAATGCCCATCATAAGACTCTAAAACTACTATTATTCTTAGTTGAAAGATTGAAGATATGATTACAAGGAACTACTGCTTTTTACGACAGTTGAAGAAATTGGAAGCGTAATGTGTGAGATTGCATGAACACTATGGAAGTGATATGATTGGAATCAAACAAATAGCATAGCGGGTATATGTTCGTAACATGTCATAAAGTAGATCCAGTTCGGATCGATCAGAACAGAACAGACGCGCGTGGCGTTCTCGTGCTGATCCGATGGGATCGATGCAACGGCCTTTTGTGCCGAAGCGAAATCACCCAAGCATGACGCATGAGTATTTGACTCGACGCGTAGGGATTCCCTTTTCATGCTTGAAACTCTCAAGAAATTGGCTGGCACTCTGTTGCCAGACTGGCCCCAATTTGCTCCTCAAACAAACGGCGGAGCGATTTCTGAAGCGCTGAAAGCCTGATGGTGGAGGGCCACTAATGCGACCGGAGAAAATCATCTGTTGCAATAGAAGAACCGCAAAGATACCCAGGAATGGAATAAATCCACAAGATATAAGCGTGAAAATTATTGTAGGCTCAATCCTTGGCATGATGGTGTCTCAGACGATCCACTCCATCTCGTACGGTATCCCGCAGACTGAAGCCTCCAAACAGCCAGTCATTCGAGTGACGGCCGTAGTGGTTCACTGTGCCGCTGTAACGACGGTAGTCGTGGCCGCTTCTGCGCATGTGTGTGGAATGTACACGCTTGTTGGTCGCGCTGTCGTCGGTGGAGACTCTGCTCGGAGACATGGTGGAGACGGGGCTCGCAGAGCGAGGAGGGGTAGAGTTTGCAGGAATGCTTCGAGGAATGTCGAAGCTAGATGAGGGAGAGGAGCGATTCGAAGGGATAGAAGCTGCGGTCGGAGAGTGGGAGCGCGACCGGAGGAACTGTTTTACGCTGGACAGGCGGCTTGCTTTGTGATGTCTAGCCTTCGTAGCGTGGGAGTTGGTGGTGGTTGATGAGGTGGAGGAAGTAGTAGACTGAGAAAGAGCCCGCTTGAGGGTGTTTGGTTGAGCAGAAGTCTGGTGGTCGTCGTTCATTGCTTTGATTGAGGATATACCAAGGGGGATGGATCAGAAAAGAGTGAAATCAACTCTGTAAACTGAGGATATTGCATCCAAAAAGAACAGGGGAATTGAGCGTATTTAAGTTCCATCGTCCCCTCCTTCCGTGCTCATTCCGAGCATGTCTGGAAGCCCACCCATCAGCCTATCAAAACAGCACTGGCCCTATCCGGGGCATGGGGCCCCTGCCGGGAAGCCCGAGCGGACGAATGAAAGAATGCCAGCACCGAGGGGCTCCATCGATAGGGCTCAAATGGCCCCTTCTTGAGTCACGGACGGCAGCTGAATGATGAGCCAGTCGGTGAGGATCTCCAGTCGTCTCCACGCGTCTGCCCTATGCCTTACGAGCCGGCCAATCACTGTGCCTGTCACTGGGAAATGACCCATCAGGGGGCTCCATTTTCACCGCTAGATCCACCGCAGCAGCGTCCACAAGGCTGCCTTGATTTTGTCCGCTGTTCGGGTGCGCCCGTCGGAGACTGATTGTGTGTCCTTTAGTGATAGGCAGTTGGAATGTTCGTCCTCGTTGTTTTTGTCTGGATATGAGTGAGCTGTCAGCTCTAGGGCATTCCAGACAACTTCCAGAATTCTTCCCACGAAGCAACAGAACGGGTGAGAATTCAGCCCCCACCTTGCAGACAGGAATGATCGCTCGGACTTAGCGAGCAGGATAGGAAATGATGTTCGAATTCGGACTAGGGACGGGACATAGGGCTTACGGCTCACAGGAGGTGGTTTCCCAAGTGTTAGTCTCAGCTAGTGCTGATCTCCACCCTGGTCTCTCCCTCTCCTTCCCCTCTCCAGGCTACCATGAACCGGAGAGAACACACTCACGGATTGCTTTTAATAGCAACTGCGTGAAAATGGCTCTTATCTGAAACATGATCCCTGTTCAGATTGTCACACTCCCAGTGCGGGATATACGAAAATGCCTCGATGGAATGAGTGAGGCAATTATAGGGTAGGCGATGCGCTGCGGATGGTGTTGAAAGCGAAGCCAACACAACAGCGACAGACAAGACAGAGACAGCCAGTCTCAGACGGCCTTCCCAATTGGGACGCCGGCCAGTGACCCACTTGAGGCTCTTGAGCTCGCCAATGACATCACGGCCCTTCACGTGCCCCATGCCAAGAGGCTGGCCGGCACGCGCTTCCGAGCACAAGGAGTTGGGAAATGAATCCTACTGGAATACGGGCAACGAACATGCTGCGACGAGTATTCCGAAGACCGTCCTTTTCTTCATTTTCTAGACTTGAGTATGACCTACTGGTCTTGCTATAACATTAAATCAACAAGCAGCCGCCATCAACAAAGCTCATCGCATGCAAAATACCCACTCAACGCCATGAAAGCAACCCTCGCAATGCAATGCGTGCAAATATGTCAAAACCAAACACTGAAATATAACCAAGGAAACAGCACAAACCAACAGACAGTGCATACAAGCTATTGTTCCTCTTCCAGTGGCCACAACGCGGCGCTGGGCCTTTTCCACGACCGAGGCTGCTCCGAATGGCACCGCCGATGATATCGCTCAACTGACAGATATCCAGCTCCGGTCTTAACATCGGCAACTCTCCCTCTTTCAGCAACAGAACTTGAAGGCGGCAGAATAGGAGCTCCTTGGGGCATCCAGTATGAAACCAGCACACTTTCCCCAGTAGTGGTCGTGGTCGGCAGCACAAACAGTGATCGGGCCTTATCCAGAGGTGGACGGATCATTTTCCGGAGGGACCCCGATCCCGATCCAGCATGATGGTCTGTGACTTGCCCAGAGGCGCTGGGCGAAGCTGATTCCCACGGAGCGTACCAACGTCGATGGGACCGGGCAGTCCTGGAACGAACGATCCCCGCCGATGCGGCATCATCCTCGAGCAAATCCTCAGATCCCACCGGAGTCAAGAACTGCTGCTCGAACTGACGTTGCTGCTCAGCGATGACGAGCGGCAGATTCCGTCGTTCACGTAGCTGTGTCCCAGGGCCGCAATATGGCCAGGAGTGGCGTCGTCGATGGTGGACTAAGTGTGGCATATCAACAAGGTGTAAGAGCAACAATAACTATGAAATAGACAAATCAGTCAGGAACAGGACAGCAACGGATAAAGACCAACTGACTATAAATACCAAGGGGATAGATAAATAGATAGATACCTAAGCAAAGAAAACTCGAACAGCCCAGGCAACAACCAAATACCCAGATATCTAGTCAGTCAGTTCCTCCTCGACAAGAAGAATCCCAAGGCTTGCCAACAGGGCAAGCACTAATCATGGTGAGGTAAAACAGGACACATCTCAACAAAATGCCCCGGCGAGGGCATTCGGTGAAAAGCCTCGCGTTATAAGAGCTCAGCCTTTGCCCATGGGTCATGAGGCTCGCACGTGCAAGGCGCACGCGTCGGGGACAAGAACACTGGGGAGAGATCACCCGGGCGACTAAACTGACTGAGACGATCTGGGGGTGGGCGCTGAAGAATACATGATTTGAGGCACCCTTTACTGGTCATCCGCTAGTAGGGAACCGGATAGACGCGCCTTGAATTGAGTCACGGACGATGAGCAATAGTTAGCTATGACAAATGAAATTAGAGTCAGCGACTGGCTTGCGCGGCGGGAGGATTGCTACTAATAGTAATAATCGTAAAACTAGCTTTGAAATCAAATGCCTAGATATTCTCCCCCGTTCTGTCGGCGAAATTATACAGCTACCTGCTGGGCGGGTTCTGCAGGTTCCGTAACTAGTGAAAGATGGTGTTTGTGCGGATCTCCAGATGAGCGGCATGATCAAGCGGGGTACAGAGTAACAATGAAAGTGACTGACTAAAATCGACGATGTCTCCTCTTCACCGAACTGGGACGGGTGATCTGCAGTCTTTTGCTCTTATCACAAGCTTGCGAGTGCTGATAGCTTTGTTGCCTTTTTCTCCGGCACGAGAAGCGATCAGCACATAGTGTTTGGAGGCGAAGATGAAGAGATGTTGCATGTTGCTGTTGCATTGCAGCACAGACCTGGTTTCTCTCTCCCCGGTTCTTCTTGCTTAGTGTCATGTGATAGGTTGGTCTTTACATCCTGACTGGCTAACAAGTACTCTGGATACTACTCTGCTACAACAAATTAATGTAGTTCTCAAACAGTCCTTCGTGATAAATGGGGAGCGAAGCTGTCTACTCCGTAAGTCAAAATCCAACCACCTTTACCATTGACCAGTCACGTGGTCTAATGGTTATGATTTCTCGTTCACATCAATCTGACGCGCCGAGAAGGTTCCCGGTTCGATCCCGGGCGTGACTACTCTCTTTATATTTTTCACAATACAGTCTATAATCCTAGTTTGATAATCCTTGTCTTCTCGTAATTTATACTGTTTGTTTTTTTGGTCTGGGCTGCCTGGTATATTGCCTCCAAATTTGGGTTTCAAGTTCCATGGTTTCCTCATCCTCACGGTGGGGACATGGCCCGCACATCTTCCTGCGTTTTGCTATACCCCTTGGTCTTGGATACTGGTCACATGCAATTATCGTAACAGACTAAAAGCCTTATACTGATCCTATAAGCTTTGCCGGCTACTTCAATTGATTGCTCGTTATCACAGCAACGAATTCTTCTCGGTCTAAATCACATCAGCCTCGTCGTTCGTCTATGCAAAGGAAGGCGTACCTTTTAGATTGGGAAAGGTGATCGTAATTGGCCCTGTTTTGTGCTCTCTATTCTGATTCTTGGCTGCCCCGGAAGCTATCTTTGTCATGTTGAGGACCATCCCGCGTGAATAGCTGCTTGGGGGGAAGCTGACCAGGTTTCCGGCTCTGGATGGTTCAGATGGTGGTATGGTCATTGTGAGCCACCTGTCCGTTATACGGTCGCTCCAACGCGCAGCAAGGCGAATGGTATTTCCATCACGCCATAGCTGGACTTGTGAGTCTCCTTTCACTGACTTTCTAGGACCGAGGACCAGCAGCTTTTCCTTAGTCGTGATGGATGTGGCTCTCCTGGAGAAGACCAGCTTGTATGTTGATGCAAGCGAGGACATGAACGCCATCAGCACGCGCTCTTCGTGAAACTCCACCGTCATATCCTTGAACTCTTTTTCGCAGTGAGAGAAGAACACTCGACCGTCAGCCCGATATAGCTGGTCAACGTGTGATGATATGTAAGTGGCGAATAGTGCACGGGGAAATCTCACACGGAGATTAGAATGGTCGTACAGGTAGTCCATATCCCTGAAGAGATAATGTAGACTGCACTGCTTCCATTCCGCACGAGTGCGACATATCATCACCGCCTTGTAGCGTTTCTCATCGGGCGCAATGTCAGCAACCTCGTAGACCTGCCCTGAGCTTTTGGCCTGAGACCAGGTGAAGGCGGGCTTCTGGCTTAGACCCAGAACAGCCTTTTCCAGTTCCTCCACAGCCTCCTGTGAGCGAAACTGGATACCAAGGCCTATGTTTGGATTGCTGCCGTCATACACGTAAGTGAAAAGTGGATGGTAGTTCCCGTCTGTTTTGCTGGACCTCTCCTGGCCCGTGTCTGACCATTTCAGCAAGATGAACCCAGAAGCCGTCGTACGGCTGACTTGTACATGACCCAGTGGCATGAAAAATTCGGTAGCCTGCCCGGGCTTGTCGGCTATTGAAGAACTGATGACCATGCGCCGGATAGAGCGCCACGCCTCGCCAAAAGACCTTTCCAAGATGCGCACTTCGCAGGATCTGTGTAGTGTGGGAGGACTGGTTGACACCATGCTAGGCATCCTCAACTGCTCAACTGTTTCGGCCGGACTTTTGAAAACAACCTTTTCTGTGAATTGGTCGGAATCAAGTGGCTCCCGTATCTGGACGGCATCGAAGTACGCTTTGGGCATGCTGATCACTTGCATAATATCTGACATGTATTGAAATGAAATAGACAAAGTCATAGCGTCAAATTTCAGGGTCAGAGGTTCTGTTGGCTTTGGCACGGATAGATTGGTGAGTGATGCATTTGATACCTGGATCAGCTGAGCTAGATCCCCTGGTGCCACTGTAGATTGATTTAGTTTCGTCGGTTCTAGCCATTTTAGCCATATGTATAGACACTTACAATCTCGTTGGAGACAAAATGTTCCGTACTGGTTACAGAGGCTAATTTTGGGCTCGCTTTCACCATACTTTGTAGACAAAAGTAACATGTATGGAGCGCCTCTGGATCGCATACGGAGCTTCTTAGCCCCGATCCCTGCATTCACGAAAGTGCGGAAAAGAACTTGCTCATCCTCTTTACCAGCATCCTCCAGTTCTACTGTAATATAGCAGAAGTTCCCTGGCTTAGCTGGTTGGCCATCCTTCCCAATCATCTCTTCGGGCTGTATAGGTTCCCAGAAGTCGAGGTTTTGCGAATGGATCGCAGCGTAATCGGGTATATCCACGGCACTAAATTGCCCAAAGTCTTCTTTGAGCCCCTTTAAAATGCTTAGCCTGAACAAAGTAAGATGTCTGTTGGTTGGCTTACGTCTGATAGATCTGAGATCATTTTTCTGATCTCATCCTCCAAAAGCAGCTGTGGGTTGTCACAATTCAAGACTATGTCATATAGGATATATGACGCTTTCAGAAGGTCCACATATGCCTGGTGACTCGAGTTACATGACAGTGCAGACGGGCTCACGCTGCCTCTGGTGCTTGAAATTGTTGATCTCTCGCTATTCGCAAGGGCTGTCCTGGCCTTTACCATACATAAGCAGCTGTCACCAGGGAAAACTAAATGCGTATATATATATACCTTCAGAAGCCACCACACAGCAACTAACAGCCAGCATCTCGCAGTGAGTTGCTGGGCCCGCTCTTCCTTGTGGGCTATATGATCGAAACTTGCGAGAAGCTCTGCATCAGGCTGATGCATCTTATCACGTGGTTCACACCGCAGCGATCGGAACAGCTGCTCTCGTAGTTGCCGTCGGTGGAGTTCTTGTATCGCATCAGCTCCTGAATGGCCAGGGCTACCCCACGGCGTTGACTCGCCTGGTTTTATTGAGGTTGACCGTTGAATTCGCCCTTGATGTTGGATAGCTGAGAATCCAGATCCTGGTCCACGAGACCAAACCACTTCTTTCTCCGTCGAAAAGACCTCTGGTACAACTGATTGCGAAGGGCTGTAAGTCGAAGTAGCTGGACTAGTAGGTGAGGTGTACGTAGTAGCCGTGAAACTAGACGTGTCTGAGTGCCCCGACACAATGGATTCGGAGGAAGCTAAAACATGAGAGGGGTCTTCTGGCGGACATGCGGGTTGTGGAGCGGGATTTGACCTGCTTGGTTGTGTTCCTTCTAGCTCCGCTAGGATGAAGACATTCTGCTGGCGAGGCGTAGATACTGAAATCGAAATAGGCGAGACGTCGTCATGTGCCTGCCAAGATGAAGGAGTTGGGGGAGGTATATCTTTTGCCGAATCTTTTGTCGCCGAGCTTTCAATTCTTTCTAACGAAGGCCTAAAACGTGAGATACAGTCAATATTTTGGCTAGTTATGGAAGCTCACTTGGTGAGAGAGCCGACACATACGCCCAAATGGCATGTATGAGCCACTATCTTAGACTTAAGATCTTCAATGAATGCCTGCTGTGTCATCCAATCTATGGACTGCCATAGCTGTCTCCCGTTCTCAAACCCTAGATTTCGGTACATGTCGACCACCTCCTTTAGCTGCTGCAAGGTCCCTGAGCATGAATTCAGGCACCGATGGAGGGTATGCTTGCATTCCTCATCTGACTCTAAAAGCTCGATCTTGCTGGAGCTGATATCATCTTTCAAGGTCTGAAACACGCTATGCAGGGATTCCAGGCTCGCCACAAGCTGGTTGAAGCCGTCAGGGGCATCTCCGGAGATAGAATTGCATGTAAGATATAGGTCGCGTGCCAGTTTGGTAAGTTCCGGAACATCCGCTGCTTCGAAAATGGAAGCCATTTCTCTTTTCATCAATTAAGTAAGCTATGATGTATTACCTGTGTCAATGATATAAAAAGAAGGAATCGGAAGTTGCCGGAAATGTCAGTTCACGAGTGATTCACGAGTAGGCAGCAACTGCAAAACACTGGTGTCAAAGCCAGGGGCTGGTGGAGACGAAGGGCGCAGCATGTAGCCAGTGTCTCAGATC